CTAGAAGAAGACACATACATGAAAACACAGGTGAACTGTTCATGGGAATGCTAAATTTTGAGAAAACTCCATGCTCTACTGTTGATGAATTGTATAACTCTGTCACCACCAGTGTTCTGAATGTTCTGGACGCCATTGCTCCTGTGACGGTTAAAATAGTTACCAGTAAGAAAAAGGCCCCATGGACTAAGGCAGACTCGGTCAGGGCACAGAAGCAAGAGTGCCGGAGGGCCGAACGGAAGTGGCGAAAGTCCAATTTCCAGGGCGATTATGAAATCTTTAAAGATGAGTTGGGTGAATTTAACCGGGTTCTACGAAGAACAAGAGAAATGTATTTTTCTGACATTATTGGAGGTTGCAGTAACAATTTTCGTGTTATGTTTTCAACAGTTGGTAGATTAACGAACCCCCCTGTAAAGTTGCCCCTAGAATTTTCCTCTAAATCTAGGTGTAATGAGTTCGCACAGTTTTTCGATGACAAAGTACAAGGAATCAAAAACACTATCACCTCCACAGCACGTATAACAATGCAACAGCCAGAGAAGCTTTTTGAGCTAACTCACTTTGCACCTGTGGATACTGAAACTGTCAAAAAGATAATCATGAGTCTGAGCTCCTCCACATGTAGCCTGGATATATTGCCCTCTAAATTTCTGAAGTCCGTCCTGAGCAGTTTGTTACCTTCACTGACACAAATAGTAAACATGTCTCTGTCGTCAGGAACATTTCCTATGGCCCTAAAAACAGCAGTCATAAGACCTCTCCTAAAAAAGAGCAGTCTGGATCCTGCGGGACTTCAAAATTATCGCCCCATATCGAATCTGCCATTCATTGGAAAAATTCTTGAAAAAGTGGCCTCCCAACAACTTACTGAATTTTTAACAATGAATAATTCTTTTGATATGTTCCAGTCTGGGTTTAGACCCCACCACAGCACTGAGACCGCTCTAGTGAAGGTAACAAACGACATTCGACTTCACACTGATGCAGGTAAAGTCACAGTTTTGGTCATGTTAGATCTTAGTGCCGCGTTCGACACTGTCGACCATGAGATCCTCATGCAGAGACTGGAGGACTGGGTTGGTGTCACTGGCACAGCCCTAGACTGGTTTAGGTCTTACCTGGAGGATAGGAAGTACTTTGTGGAGATTGGAGACTGCGTCTCAGATCATGTGGCCCTGACCTGTGGAGTACCACAGGGGTCGATCCTGGGACCTCTCCTATTTAATCTCTACATGCTGCCGTTAGGTCAGTTAATACAAAGAAACAAAGTGTCCTACCACAATTACGCCGACGACACTCAGATCTATGTCTCACTGACTGCAGGAGAACATGGACCACTGGATTTGCTCCTTCACTGTATCCAACAGATCAGTGAGTGGATGCAAAATAATTTCCTCCAGCTAAATGCAGACAAAACCGAAATCATTGTCTTTGGTCCCCAGAAACAAAGAGAGGGCGTCATCTGTCAACTTCAGTCTCTCTCCCTACTTCCTTCAGACAAGGTCAGAAATTTGGGGGTAATACTGGACTCAGACCTAAATTTCAATAGCCACATAAAATCAATAACATCAACAGCTTTTTACCATCTGAAGAACATTGCCAAAGTCAGAAATATAGTGTCCAGGGCAGACTTGGAGATTCTTGTCCACGCATTTGTCTCCAGCAGGCTAGACTACTGCAATGGCCTGCTTACAGGTCTGTCCAAACAGACCTGTAAGCAGCTGCAGTACATCCAAAATGCAGCAGCTAGAGTCCTGACAGGAACCAGGAAGTATGACCATATTAGTCCGGTCCTCAGGTCTCTGCACTGGCTTCCTGTGGCTCAAAGAATAGATTTTAAAACAGCTCTGCTTGTGTACAAGTCTCTCCATGGCCTTGCACCAGAATACATTAGTGACATGTTGGTGTCATATGAACCAGCCCGGACTCTGAGGAGCACAGGGACTGGCCTCCTGCTGGTGCCCAGAGTGAGAACCAAACATGGGGAGGCTGCGTTTCAGATCTATGCAGCTAAGATCTGGAACAATCTCCCTGAAAATGTGAGGGAGGCGTCTACTCTGTCAATGTTCAAATCCAGGTTAAAGACTGTTCTGTTTGCCTGTGCATACAACTGAAGGATTTTATCTCCATTTGTAATGCACTGCTGTCATTTATTTATTTATTTTTTTTAAATTTCTTGTGTAACTTTGAAAGTGTTAATGGTTTTATTCTTTTGTGTGATTTTATTGTTTTTATTGTGTTTTAATCTTTTGTGTGATTTTAATGTTTTAATTGTGATTCTGGTGTTTGTTTTATGTGATGATTTGTGATGTGGACTGTGAAGCGCTTTGTGTTGCCCTGTGCATGAAAGGCGCTCTACAAATAAACTTTGATTGATTGATTGATTGATAAAAAAATAATCTATTCTACTATATGTATGATGAACGTGCGAATAAAATGAATAGTTTCTATCTTGAGGGTGCAAGAAACGCCATATGTCAGAGACACCATATTCCTTAAGAAAAGATTTCACCCAGGCCGCCGACCTGGATGACACATTGCTCAATCTAGGGGAAGACCGGTCTAGTACCGGATCCATGGTCAAATTAAAGTCTCCACCCATTATAAGTAAATGTGAATTCAAATCAGGAAGCAACTTAATGATACGTTGAAAAAATAAAGAGTCATCAAAATTAGGAGCATATATATTGACAAGCGCTACTTTAGTATTATGTAATAAACCTGTCACTATCACATATCGCCCATTAACATCCACATAAGAATTTGAGTGAATAAATGAAATATCTTTGCTTATTGCTATGGCCACTCCCCTTGATTTAGACTGAAAAGTGGAGTGGAAGAGCTGGCCTACCCATCCGGTTCTCAGGCGAAAATGATCAGAACTTTTAAGATGCGTTTCTTGAAGAAACGCTATGCCAACCTTCAAATGTCTTAAATGCGTCATAACCTTTTTACGCTTGACAGGATGATTCAAACCCTTGACGTTCCAACTTATAATATTCAAATTAACCTGCATTTAATAACATTAGCATAACATGAGACAATCTGTGCCATGAAAACAAAAATGGAATAGAATGTATACCTGATATAAACATGAGACATTTGCATATAGTGACAGCCCAGAAAAAAAAACAAAACAAAAACAAAGCTAACAAAAAAACCCACCCCAAAGGTGATTCTAGCTGTAACAAACAGTAAAACAGCACACCTAACCTGCCTAAAACTAACGTCCTCCGAGAAAAACAAAACACCCTAATCTCACTTGGACTCCATTTAGCATAAAAAAGAAAATATTGACCCCCCAATATATGAATCAGATTAAAAAACAAGAAAATACAAGCATGAACAGCTATAGTATATAGTCAAACAAAATAACAGCATGGCCATGTAATGATAACTTAAAAAAAACAGCTGACCAGCAGCACTTACAAAAGTCTGGCCATATATACGTTAAAAGAACAAAACAGAAAATACAATAGCAGAAAAAACACCATCGAGTCAGTCCCAGTAAAGTCTCTTCAAACAGATTTGTTCACCTCTTCGACATACCTCTCTGCCTCGTCCACTGATGTAAACAACTTGCGCGTGCCGTTTGTTTGAGTGATACGGAGTTTAGCTGGGTACAGAAGGGCTGGCTTTAGCCCCAGTTCGTATAGCGAAGACATGACTGCTTTGTACACTTTCCGCTGAGTGACAACCTCCGATGGGTAGTCTTCATAAAGTCGAAAAGTGTGTCCCTGGTAAACCAGAGTTTTCCTCACCCGAGCCTCACGCATTATCAGCTCCTTTTGCTGAAAACGATGGAAGCACACCATGACTGGCCGTGGCCTATCCCCGGGCTTCGGTTTGGGAGCCAGGCTGCGGTGCGCCCGGTCTAACTCGGGCAGAGACGGGAATAAATCACGGCCAAATACCTCCTGAAGTAGTTGAGCAAAAAAGTTAGTCGGTTGAACTCCTTCTATTGACTCCGGCAATCCCACCAATCTAACATTGGAACGTCTGCTCCGTCCTTCCAAATCCGTAACTTTAGTGCGTAGCTTCTCATTCTCTGTTAGCACCTTGAGGTAGCAGGCCTCGAGTTTCTCCAAACGTCCATCTACGGATTCAGCATTGTCTTCTAAAGACGTCAGTCGACTGTCGTGACTATCCACAGACTGTTGAAGGCAATCTAGCTTCCCGTCGATTCTATTAAGGGATGTGTTGAGGTCAGCTAAAAGAGAATTCTTGTGCTCTGCTAGCGCTGCTAACAGATCTTCCTTGCTAACAGCGGTGATGCTAGCGGCCTCCGCACTTTCACTCTTTTTTCCGGCTCTGTGTGACTTCGGCATCTTACATCGAAGAGAAACTCCAATCTGGCTCGAATATATAAACAAACAAACTGCCCAGCTGACGCAAAAGAACACAAAATAAAACGTTGGGGGGTCAAAAAGTAACAGTTAAGTCGGGAGCCCAGCTTCCACACGCCTCTACTCCATGAGCAACCAACCGGAAGTCATACTACTTTTGAGACTTTTGAGACTTCAGAATCAGAATCATTTTTATTGCCACGTAAGTATCAGGAAGTCACAGACTTGGAAATTGCTTTGGCTCAGTGCAACAGTCAGAGAGATAATAAAAATATAGAATAAAAAACACTTCTAATAAATTTAAATTTAAAATAGAGTTACAGTTACTATTGACAATATACAAGTGCACATGGTGCACACAATGTAAGGTGACAGCAGTACAGTGAAGTAAAGTGACGTATGATGGGCAGTAAAGTGACTTTATAAAGGGCGGGGGGACAGGTTAAGAAGTGTTCAAGAGTCCAACAGCAGAGGGGAAGAAACTGTTCTTGTGGCGGGAGGTTCTAGTCCTGATGGACCGCAGCCTCCTGCCTGAGGGGAGTGGTTGGAATAGTCCATGTGCAGGGTGAGAGGGGTCGGCTGTGATACGACCAGCCCGGCCTCGAGCTCGGGCGACGTACAGGTCCTGCAGCGATGGAAGGCTGCGGCCGATCACTTCCTCTGCAGAGCGCACAATGCGCTGTAGTCTCTGTTTGTCCCTGACTGTGGCTCCAGCGAACCACACGGTGATGGAGGAGGTGCTGGAGGAGGTGATGGAGGAGGTGATAGAGGAGGTGATAGAGGAGGTGATGAGGAGGTGATGGAGGAGGTGATGAGGAGGTGATGGAGGAAGTGATGAAGGAGGTGATGGAGGAGGTGATGGAGGAGGTGATGAGGAGGTGATGGAGGAGGTGATGGAGGAGGTGATGAGGAGGTGATGAGGAGGTGATGGAGGAGGTGATGGAGGAGGTGATGAGGAGGTGATGGAGGAGGTGATGGAGGAGGTGATGAGGAGGTGATGAGGAGGTGATGGAGGAGGTGATGGAGGAGGTGATGAGGAGGTGATGGAGGAGGTGATGAGGAGGTGATGGAGGAGGTGATGAGGAGGTGATGGAGGAGGTGATGAAGGAGGTGATGGAGGAGGTGATAAGGAGGTGATGGAGGAGATGATGAGGAGGTGATGGAGGAGGTGATGAAGGAGGTGATGGAGGAGGTGATAAGGAGGTGATGGAGGAGGTGATGGAGGAGGTGATGAAGGAGGTGATGGAGGAGGTGATGAGGAGGTGATGGAGGAGGTGATGAGGAGGTGATGGAGGAGGTGATGGAGGAGGTGATGGAGGAGGTGATGAAGGAGGTGATGAGGAGGTGATGGAGGAGGTGATGAGGAGGTGATGGAGGAGGTGATGAGGAGGTGATGGAGGAGGTGATGGAGGAGGTGATGGAGGAGGTGATGAGGAGGTGATGAGGAGGTGATGAGAAGGTGATGGAGGAGGTGATGGAGGAGGTGATGGAGGAGGTGATGGAGGAGGTCAACATCTGTGCAGGCAGCTTGGCTTTCCTGAGCTGCCGCAGGAAGTACATCCTCTGCTGGGCCTTCTTGATGAGGGAGCTGATGGTCGGCTCCCACTTGAGGTCCTGGGTGATGGTGGTGCCCAGGAAACGGAAGGACTCCACAGAAGTGAGATGAGTCCATCACGGAGGGTGGGGGCGGGGGGACAGTGCTCTTCCTGAGGTCCACAATCATCTCCACTGTCTTCTGGGCGTTCAGCTCCAGGTTGTTACCACTGCACCAGGACACCAGCTGGTCCACCTCCCTCCTGGAGGCGGACTCATCGTTGTTGGAGATGAGTCCAATGAGGGTGGTGTCGGCCGCGAACTTGATCAACTTCACGGAGTCGTGGCTGGAGGTGCAGTGGTTGGTGTACAGGGAGAAGAGCAGGGGAGAAAGAACACAGCCCTGTGGGGCTCCTGTATTTATAATCCGAGAGTCCGAGACATTCTTCCCCAGACGCACTCGCTGCTTCCTGTCCGTCAGGAAGTCAGTGATCCACCTGCAGGTGGAATCGGGCACGTTGAGCTGGGAGAGCTTGTCCTGGAGCAGGGATGGCAGGATTGTGTTGAAGGCAGAGCTGAAGTCCACGAACAGGACCCTGGCGTAGGTCCCCGGGGAGTCCAGGTGCTGTAGGATGTGGTGGAGGGCGAACTGCAGGGGGTCCAGGTGAAGGACTTGAGATGGGAGAGGACCAGGCGTTCAAATGACTTCATGACGACAGACGTAAGTGCTACAGGTCTGTGTAGTCGTTGAGTCCTGTGATCCTGGGCTTCTTCGGGACGGGGACAATGATGGAGGATTTGAAGCAGGCCGGGACATGGCAGGACTGCAGAGAGGTGTTGAAAATGTCACTGAACACAGGAGTAAGCTCACTGGTGCACACGTGAGACACGTGGTCCGGGCCAGGAGCTTTGCGGGGGTGCAGCCTCAAAAAGAGTTGTTTAGTCTCTTTAGAGGCTATTGTCAGGCTGGGGGCAGGGCTGATGGGTGGGTCGTAAGAGTAGTGGGGGGTGGGGGAGGGAGAGGTGTCAGGGGCAGCATCAAAGCGACTGAAAAATAAGTTCAGTTCGTCAGCTAGCTTGTGGTCGTCAGCACAGGGGGGGGCTTTGGGTTTGTAGTTGGTGATCTCCCGTAAGCCCCTCCAGACAGAAGCAGTATCGTTGTTACCAAACTGCTCCTGTAGTCGTTCTCTGTGCCGGGACTTGGCTGCTTTCAGTTCTTTCCTGAACTGATATTTAGCTGCTTTGTAGCCGCTGCGGTCCCCCTCCCTGAAAGCAGACTCCTTTGCTTTCCTGAGCTGCCGGAGTTTAGCAGTGAACCAGGGTTTGTCGTTGTTATAGATGACCCTGGTCCTTGTTGGAATGATGCTATCCTCACAGAAGTGAATGTATGACGTCACAGTGTCCGTGTATTCATCCAAACTATCTGTGGCAGCTCTGAAAAGGTCCCAGTCTGTAGATTCCATGCATGCGCGCAGCTCTTCCACAGCTTCATCAGACCACACTTTGGAGCTCCTCACTGCAGGTTTCGAGAGCTTTAGTCTCTGTCTGTAAGCAGGAACCAGATGTATCATGGAGTGATCTGAGAAGCCGAGGGCTGGCTTGGGAACAGCGTGAAAAGCTCCGCCCACAGTGGTGTAACAGTGATCCAGAGTGTTCTCCTCTCTGGTCGGGCATTTGATAAACTGTCTGTATTTGGGTAATTCCTGGCTCAAGTTTCCCTTGTTAAAATCCCCCAGGATAATAATCAGAGAGTCCGGGTATAAACGTTCCATACACAGTACTTGCTCTGCGTCCGCGCATGGCGGTATGTAAACAGAGGCAAGAATGTATGAAACAATTTCACGAGGGGAGTAAAATGGTTTATAATGAATGAAAAGATATTCCAGAGCAGGAGAGCAGTGCTTGGAGATCACTGTCACATCGTTACACCAGTTTGTACTGACGTAGAAACACAGCCCACCGCCTCTGCTCTTCCCTGAGAGCGCACAATGGCGAGCCGCGCGGAACAGCCCAAAGCCCTGCAGCTCCAGAGCGCAGTCCGGGATCCGCTCATTTAGCCAGGTCTCAGTGAAGCAGAGGACACAGGATGAAGTCCTTGTTTCTTCTCATGAGCAGGCTGAGTTCGTCTTATTGCCCAGTGAGCGTACGTTGGAGAGAAAAATGCCGGGGAGAGCCGTGCGTGCTCCTCTCCTCCTCAGACGCACGAGCAGGCCTCCACGCTTTCTCCTTTTACGGGCCCACACTTTTTTGGCTAGAACATGGACTAAATCAGCCGCAGATGCCAAGAAAACAGGCAATAGGTCCATGGGGACGGTGGGTCGGATGTTCATAAGTTCCTCACGGGTGTAGGAATACAGATGCAGCCGTTCACTCTGCACCACTCCGCACACACAGAACTCATTGCAACACATCACTACCATGTATAACTCCGCCCTCTAGCTAAGTCTGCGTTCATATCAGTGCGCGGCACTATATACTACGCTAAAACATTGTTATGGGAGGTTACAAAAAAAAAAAAAAAGGCGGGCTTGATGCGGGTTTCGGGCCTGAAAATTGAGAAACCATATCGGGCCGGGCCGGGCTGGGGCGCCACCCCCTCGGGCCAGGGCCAGGGCCGGGCTCGGGTCCAGATAATAGGCCCGTGCAGGGCTCTATTCAGAGCTATACAAGAATACATTGTATTGTAAAAAGCACAAACAGACGTTTACATAGAGTGGTTAGCAGGCAATGAGTGTGTGTGTGTGTGTGTGTGTCTGTGTGTGTGAGTGTCTGTGTGTGTCTGTGTGTGTCTCTGTGTGTGTGTCTGTGTGTGTGGGTGTGTGTGTGTGTGTGTGTCTGTGTCTCTGTGTGTGTCTGTGTGTGTGGGTGTCTGTGTGTGTGTGTGTGTGTGTGTGTGTGTGTGTCTGTGTGTGTGGGTGTGTGTGTGTGTGGGGGGCTGTGTGTCTGTGTGTCTCTGTGTGAGTGTGTGCATCTCTGTCTGTGTGTCTGTCTGTGTGTGTGTGTGTGTGTGTGTGTGTGTGTGTGTGTGTGTGTGTGTGTCTGTGTGTGTGTGTGTGTGTGTGTCTGTGGGTGTCTGTGTGTGTGTGTGTGAGTGTGTGTGTCTGTGTGTGTGTGTCTGTGTGTACCCAGGAAGTCGTCAGCAGAGAAGTGGTCCGCGTCCCAGACCTGCAGGTTGAGACGCGGGGGGATCTTGTACTGCGTCTCGTCCCAGGCGAACATAGATTCTTTCTTGGAGATGACGATCTTCTCCTCTGCCATGAGGTAATCGAACGGGTACAAGAACCTCCAGTTGAAGTTCCCCTCCCCAGTGATGGAGTGATAGTGGACATCTGTGTCCTGCTTGTCCTCCTGCTGGCCCTTCAGCCACCTGCCAGGGGGGAGAGAGGGGGAGAGAGGGGGAGTTAGTGGACATCTGTGTCCTGCTTGTCCTCCTGCTGGCCCTTCAGCCACCTGCCAGGGGGGAGAGAGAGAGGGGGAGAGAGGGGGAGTTAGTGGACATCTGTGTCCTGCTTGTCCTCCTGCTGGCCCTTCAGCCACCTGCCAGGGGGGAGAGAGGGGGAGAGAGGGGGAGAGAGGGGTAGAGAGGAGGGGGGCAGATAGGGCTAGAGAGAATATGTTAATGAGGTGAATATTTCAATGCGATTAATATGTAAATTTGGTGAATATGTTAATGAGGTGAATATGTTAATGACCCTCGGACAAAGATGTCGCTGGATTTTTCTCCGGTGAAAATGTCGTCGTCTTCCAACACAACCTCGTCCGTGTTCCAGATGATGACACGCAACTCAAACCTAGACACACAACATATACACACGTTAAAAACACACAAACACACAGACACATTGACACGGACACACACAGACACATAAAACACACACACAGACACACACACACGCACACAGACACACACGTACACACAGACACACACACACACACACACACACACAGACACACACACACACACTCACTTCTTTGGTTTTCTGGGGGCGATGTCCAGAGCTGGTCCTGGAGCTGTCATGTCTTTGGGAAACATGTCAACCCACAGTTCTATCCGGCCCTGAAACCAGAGGAACCATGAGGACCAGGAAGAGACCGAGGAGGAGGACCAGGAGAGGACTGAGGAGGAGACTGAGGGGGAGGACCAGGATGAGACTGAGGAGGACGACAAGGATGAGACTGAGGAGGAGGACCAGGATGAGACTGAGGAGGAGGACCTGGTTTGTCCGGATGCAGCAGAGGTCTAGGTCTCTCTCCCCTCTCACCTCCTCTCTCCCCTCTCTCCTCCTCTCCCCCCCTCTCCCCTCTCTCCTCTGCTTGATCCCTGGTTTGTCTGGATGCAACAGAGGTCTGGTCTCTCCTCTCTCCCCCCTCTCTCTCTCTCCCCCTCTCTCCCCTCTCTCCCCTCTCACCGCTCTCCCCCCCTCTCACCTGCTCAATCCCTGGTTTGTCTGGATGCAGCAGAGGTCTGTCTCCCCTCTCTCCCCTCCTCTCTCCTCCTCTCTCCCCCTCTCACCTCCCTCCTCTCTCCCCCCTCTCTCCCCCCTCTCTCACCTCCTCTCCCCCTCTCACCTGCTCGATCCCTGGTTTGTCTGGATGCAGCAGAGGTCTGGTCTCCACATGTTCTGGCACCAGTTTGCAGCCAACTTTTGGAATCTGCTCCCAGTGATTCAGGACACTGAGGGCCACGTGCTCATCGGTCTGTTTCTTCAGACCTGACACACACACACAGAGACACACACAGACACACACACACAGAGACACACACAGAAAAACACAGAGACACACAGAGAGACACACACACACACACACACACAGAGACACACACACACAGAGAGACACACAGAGCGACATACAGACACACAGAGAGACACACACACACACACACACACAAAGAGAGACACACAGAGACACACACAAACCCACACATACAGAGACACACACAAACCCACACACATACAGAGACACAATTTTATCTCACTTTTTTACAGCACAGACAGACAGGCAGCTGACAGCAAGAGGGGAGAGAAGAGAGAGGAGAGAGAGAAGAAAGAGAAGAAGAGAGAGAAGAGAGAGAAGAAAGAGAGAAGAGAAGAAGAGAGAGAAGAGAGAAAAGAGAGGAGAGAGAGAAAGAAGAGAGAGAAGCGAGAGACAAGAGAAGAGGAGAGAGAAGAGAGAGAGAAGAGAAGAGAGGAGCGAGAGAAGAGAAGATAGAGAAAGAAGAGAGAGAGAAGAGAAGAGAGGAGAGAGAGAAGAAAAGAGAGAGAAAGAAGAGAGAGAAGAGAGAGAGAAGAGAAGAGAGGCGCGAGAGAAGAGAAGATAGAGAAAGAAGAGAGAGAGAAGAGAAGAGAGGAGAGAGAAGAAAAGAGAGAGAAAGAAGAGAGAGAAGAGAGAGAGAAGAGAGAGAAGAGAAGAAGAGAGAGAAGAGAGAGAGAAGAGAGAGAGGAGAGAAGAGAGGAGAGAGAGAAGAGGAGAGAGAGAAAGAAGAGAGAGAAGAGAAGAGAGAGGAGAAGGTGTTGGTACCGTTCTCGTCCTCGATCTCGGTGGGGCCCATGAAGACCCGGTTCTCCACTTTGACGCGGCCTGGGGGCCCGTAGTGCGGCCCGTCCAACTTCCCCTCTTTACACAGTCGGGCCAGAATGTGGGACGGCTTCAGGGGGTCACGCCACACATTGTAACCATGACTGAGACCAGGAAGAGACCAGAGATCAGAGAGAGACTAGAGAGAGACCAGAGAGAGACCAGAGAGACCAAAGAGAGACTAGAGAGAGACCAGAGAGAGACCAGAGAGACTAGAGAGAGACCAGAGAGAGACCAGAGAGACTACAGAGAGACCAGAGAGAGACCAGAGAGACCAGAGAGAGACTAGAGAGAGACCAGAGAGAGACCAGAGAGAGACCAGAGAGACTAGAGAGAGACCAGAGAGAGACCAGAGAGACCAAAGAGAGACTAGAGAGAGACCAGAGAGACTAGAGAGAGACCAGAGAGAGACCAGAGAGAGACCAGAGAGACTAGAGAGAGACCAGAGAGAGACCAGAGAGACTACAGAGAGACCAGAGAGAGACTAGAGAGAGACCAGAGAGAGACCAGAGAGACTAGAGAGAGACCAGAGAGAGACCAGAGAGACTAGAGAGAGACCAGAGAGAGACCAGAGAGACTACAGAGAGACCAGAGAGAGACCAGAGAGACCAGAGAGAGACTAGAGAGAGACCAGAGAGAGACCAGAGAGAGACCAGAGAGAGATTAGAGAGTGTGTGTATTTCTATCTGTGTGTCTCTGTCTGTTTCTCTGAGTCTCACATGGCGTAGGTCCTCCCCTGTGTGTGTGTGTGTCTGTGTGTGTGTCTCTCACATGGCGTAGGTCTTGCCCTGTCTGTGTGTGTGTGTCTCTGTGTGTGTGTGTGTGTGTGTGTCTCTCACATGGCGTAGGTCTTCCCCTGTCTGTGTGTGTGTGTCTCTGTGTGTGTGTGTGTGTGTGTGTCTCTCACATGGCGTAGGTCTTGCCCAGACCACACGTCGCCCGGTGCTTGCTGTAGAAGCGGTTCTCCAGGTCGATCTTGGTCTCTCCGATGAGGTCATCGGTCCCCACAAGGTCCCAGTCGTAGATAGACACAGTCAGAGTGGAGTCCATGGGAAGACTAGCCTCAATGTCAAAAGACCTGACTCGTAAACACAAGAGAGGAGAGGGTGAGGAGGAGAGAGGAGAGAGAGAACAGAGGAGGAGAGGAGAGAGAACAGAGGAGAGAGAGGAGAGAGGAGGAGAGAGGAAAGAGGAGAGAGAGGAGGAAGAGAAAAGATAGGAGGAGAAAAGAGAGAGGAGGAGAAAAGAGAGAGGAGGAGGAGCTCACTTTCCAAACACAGGGTTGAGCTGTTTGCTGTGGTAGTTTTCTTTGTCTTTGATCTCAGTTTTCCCGAGTCTGATGGTGATGTAAGGATCTGCTTTACCGTTGATGTCGGCGGGATGAAGGTCTGTGGCCTACGGAGCAGAGGGGAGGTTAGCCCGAGAGGAGGGGCTCACTCCTGCACTCCTGCTAACTCCTGCTCACTCCTGCTCACTCCTGCTAACTCCTGCTAATGAGGCTAACTCCTGCTAACTCCTGCTAATGAGGCTAACGCCTGCTAATGAGGCTAACTCCTACTAATGAGGCCAACTCCTGCTAATGAGGCCAACCCCTGCTAATGAGGCTAACTCCTGCTAATGAGGCCAACTCCTACTAATGAGGCCAACTCCTGCTAATGAGGCCAACTCCTGCTAATGAGGCCAACTCCTGCTAACTCCTGCTAACTCCTGCTAATGAGGCTAACTCCTACTAATGAGGCCAACTCCTGCTAATGAGGCTAACTCCTGCTAATGAGGCTAACGCCTGCTAATGAGGCTAACGCCTGCTAATGAGGCCAACTCCTACTAATGAGGCCAACTCCTGCTAATGAGGCCAACTCCTGCTAATGAGGCCAACTCCTGCTAATGAGGCTAACTCCTGCTAATGAGGCTAACTCCTGCTAATGAGGCCAACTCCTGCTAATGAGGCTAACTCCTGCTAATGAGGCCAACTCCTGCTAATGAGGCCAACTCCTGCTAATGAGGCCAACTCCTGCTAATGAGGCCAACTCCTGCTAATGAGGCCAACTCCTGCTAACTCCTGCTAATGAGGCTAACGCCTGCTAATGAGGCTAACTCCTACTAATGAGGCCAACTCCTGCTAATGAGGCTAACGCCTGCTAATGAGGCTAACGCCTGCTAATGAGGCCAACTCCTACTAATGAGGCCAACTCCTACTAATGAGGCCAACTCCTGCTAATGAGGCCAACTCCTGCTAATGAGGCTAACTCCTGCTAATGAGGCTAACTCCTGCTAATGAGGCCAACTCCTGCTAATGAGGCCAACTCCTGCTAATGAGGCTAACTCCTGCTAATGAGGCTAACGCCTGCTAATGAGGCTAACTCCTGCTAATGAGGCCAACTCCTGCTAATGAGGCCAACTCCTGCTAACTCCTGCTAACTCCTGCTAATGAGGCTAACACCTGCTAATGAGGCTAACTCCTACTAATGAGGCTAACTCCTGCTAATGAGGCCAACTCCTGCTAATGAGGCCAACTCCTGCTAATGAGGCCAACTCCTGCTAATGAGGCTAACGCCTGCTAATGAGGCCAACTCCTACTAATGAGGCCAACTCCTGCTAATGAGGCCAACTCCTGCTAATGAGGCCAACTCCTGCTAATGAGGCTAACTCCTGCTAATGAGGCTAACTCCTGCTAATGAGGCCAACTCCTGCTAATGAGGCTAACTCCTGCTAATGAGGCCAACTCCTACTTATGAGGCCAACTCCTGCTAATGAGGCCAACTCCTGCTAATGAGGCCAACTCCTGCTAACTCCTGCTAACTCCTGCTAATGAGGCTAACACCTGCTAATGAGGCTAACTCCTACTAATGAGGCCAACTCCTGCTAATGAGGCTAACGCCTGCTAATGAGGCTAACGCCTGCTAATGAGGCTAACTGAGGCCAACTCCTACTAATGAGGCCAACTCCTGCTAATGAGGCCAACTCCTGCTAATGAGGCCAACTCCTACTAATGTGACTAACTCCTGCTAATGAGGCCAACTCCTGCTAATGAGGCCAACTCCTGCTAATGAGGCTAACTCCTGCTAATGAGGCTAACTCCTGCTAATGAGGCCAACTCCTGCTAATGAGGCCAACTCCTGCTAATGAGGCCAACTCCTGCTAATGAGGCTAACTCCTGCTAATGAGGCCAACTCCTGCTAATGAGGCTAACTCCTGCTAATGAGGCCAACTCCTACTAATGTGACTAACTCCTGCTAATGAGGCCAATGTCATGGTGTGGATTTTATTTCTGTATTTTGTTTTATTTTTGACATTGGTTCTGTGGGTTTCATTTCAGTTTTGCTTCCTGTCTTGTTCTCTGTTGATTGTCTGCCCCGCCCTGATGTGTTTCACCTGTGTCTGTGTGTGTCTGTGTGTGTCTGTGTGTACCCTGTGCTCCTCTCCCCTTGTTGCTGGTTCATTGTGTTGTCATGTCAAGTTCTGTCCTGTTCCTGTTCCCCTTGGATTCTTGAGTTTTGTGATTATCACCTTGGACTTTATTTTATTAAATAATTATTTTTTGCATTCCTGTGTTTGGGTCCTTCCTGCATTTCCACCTTGTGACAGCCAACTCCTGCTAATGAGGCTAACTCCCGCTAATAAGGCTAACTCTTGCTAATGAGGCTAACTCCTGCTGATGTGGCCATGTCCTGCTAACTGCTGCTGATGTGGCTAACTCCTAATAATTCCTTCTAAAATTGCAAACTTCTGCTAACATGGATAACTCATGCTAAAATGGATGAGTGTGAGAGGCTGAGTGTGACAGGGTGAGGCTGAGTGTGAGAGGTTGAGGATGAGGGTGAAGGTGAGACGGTGAGTGTTAGGATGAGGGTGATGAGGGTGAGGGTGCTGAGGTGACACTGACCCTCACGATGTAGACCCGCACCAGGACGTTCACCGGGTCATTGTGAGGAATGTTCTGGAACATTCCTAAGTTCGAGTCGAAGTTTGAATCTCGGCTCTGGTCCTCCGTCACTTTGTACATGCACAAGGAGCCCTGAGGAGGGAGGAGGAGAGAGGAGGAGGAGAGGAGGAGAGAGGAGAAGGAGAGAGAAAGACAGAGGAGGAGAGAGGCAGAAAGAGGAGGAGGAGAGAGGAGGAGGAGGAGGAGGAGAGATGAGAAGGAGAGAGACAGACAGAGGAGAAGAGAGGAGGAGAGAGAGGAGGAGAGGAGAGAGAGAGAGAGGAGGAGGAGGAGGAGAGAGAGAGGAGAGAGAAAGAGAGAGAGAGAGAGAGAGAGAGGAGGAGGAGAGAGAGGAGGAGGAGGAGGAGAGATGAGAAGGAGAGAAAGACAGAGGAGGAGGGAGGCAGAAAGAGGAGGAGGAGGAGGAGAGGAAGGAGGAGAGGAGAGAAGAGGAGGAGGAGAGAGGAGGAGGAGGAGAGAGGAGGAAAAGGAGAGAGAAAGACAGAGGAGGAGAGAGGCAGAAAGAGGAGGAGAGAGGAGGAGGACAAAGGAGGAGAGAGGCAGAAGAGAGTACACTGTTAGTGTAAACAACATGCTCTGGAGTCGCCTGAAGTAGAAGCTTCAAACACAGGAGTAGCAGGCAACAAAACAACACTCACATGACGGCAGTCACATAACAACACTCACATGACGGCAGTCACATGACAACACACATGACGGCAGTCACATGACAACACACATGACAGCAGTTACATGACAACACACATGACGGCAGTCACATGACAACACACATGACGGCAGTCACATGACGACAGTCACATGACGACAGTCACATGACGACAGTCACATGACAACACACATGACGGCAGTCACATGACAACACACATGACGACAGTCACATGACAACACACATGACGACAGTCACATGACAACACACATGTCGGCAGTCACATGATAACACTCACATGACAACAGTCACATGACAACACACATGACGGCAGTCACATGACAACACTCACATGACGGCAGTCACATGACAACACACATGACGGCAGTCACATGACGGCAGTCACATAACACTCACATGACGGCAGTCACATGACAACAGTCACATGACAACACTCACATGACGGCAGTCACATGACGACAGTCACATGACAACACTCACATGACGGCAGTCACATGACAACACACATGATGGCAGTCACATGACAACACTCACATGACGGCAGTCACATGACAACACACATGACGGCAGTCACATGACGACAGTCACATGACGACAGTCACATGACAACACACATGACGGCAGTCACATGACAACACACATGACGGCAGTCACATGACAACACACATGACAGCAGTCACATGACAACACTCACATGACGACAGTCACATGACAACACACATGACGGCAGTCACATGACAACACTCACATGACGGCAGTCACATGACAACACACATGACGGCAGTCACATGACAACACACATGACGGCAGTCACATGACAACACTCACATGACGGCAGTCACATGACAACACACATGACGGCAGTCATATGACAACACACATGACGGCAGTCACATGACAACACTCACATGACGACAGTCACATGACGACAGTCACATGACAACACACATGACGGCAGTCACATGATAACACACATGACGGCAGTCACATGACGACAGTCACATGACGACAGTCACATGACAACACACATGACGGCAGTCACATGACAACACACATGACGGCAGTCACATGACAACACTCACATGACGACAGTCACATGACAACACACATGATGGCAGTCACATGACAACACACATGACGGCAGTTACATGACAACAGTCACATGACAACAGTCACATGACAACACACATGACGGCAGTCACATGACAACACACATGACGGCAGTCACATGACAACACTCACATGACGACAGTCACATGACGACAGTCACATGACAACACACATGACGGTAGTCACATGACAACACACATGACGACAGTCACATGACAACACACATGACGGCAGTCACATGACAACACTCACATGACGGCAGTCACATGACAACAGTCACATGACGGCAGTCACATGACGACAGTCACATGACGGCAGTCACATACAACACTCACATGACGGCAGTCACATGACAACACTCACATGACGGCAGTCACATGACAACACTCACATGACGGCAGTCACATGACAACAGTCACATGACAATACTCACATGACGACAGTCACATGACGACAGTCACATGACAACACACATGACGGCAGTCACATGACAACACACATGACGACAGTCACATGACAACACACATGACGACAGTCACATGACAACACACATGACGGCAGTCACATGATAACACTCACATGACAACAGTCACATGACAACACACATGACGGCAGTCACGTGACAACACTCACATGACGGCAGTCACATGACAACAGTCACATGACGGCAGTCACATGACAACAGTCACATGACGGCAGTCACATAACACTCACATGATGGCAGTCACATGACGACAGTCACATGACAACACTCACATGACGGCAGTCACATGACGACAGTCACATGACAACAGTCACATGACGGCAGTCACATGACAACACACATGATGGCAGTCACATGACAACACACATGACGGCAGTCACATGACAACAGTCACATGACGACAGTCACATGACAACACACATGACGGCAGTCACATGACAACACACATGACGGCAGTCACATGACAACACACATGACGGCAGTCACATGACAACACTCACATGACGACAGTCACATGACGACAGTCACATGACAACACACATGACGGCAGTCACATGACAACACGCATGACAACAGTCACATGACAACACACATGACGACAGTCACATGACAACACACATGACGGCAGTCACATGACGACAGTCACATGACGACAGTCACATGACAACACACATGACGGCAGTCACATGACAACACACATGACGGCAGTCACATGACAACACTCACATGACGACAGTCACATGACAACACACATGACGGCAGTCACATGACAACACTCACATGACGGCAGTCACATGACAACACACATGACGGCAGTCACATGATAACACACATGACGGCAGTCACATGACAACACTCACATGACGGCAGTCACATGACAACACACATGACGGCAGTCACATGACAACACTCACATGACGACAGTCACATGAAGACAGTCACATGACAACACACATGACGGCAGTCACATGACAACACGCATGACGACAGTCACATGACAACACACATGACGACAGTCACATGATAACACACATGACGGCAGTCACATGACGACAGTCACATGACGACAGTCACATGACAACACACATGACGGCAGTCACATGACAACACACATGACGGCAGTCACATGACAACACTCACATGACGACAGTCACATGACAACACACATGATGGCAGTCACATGACAACACACATGACAGCAGTTACATGACAACAGTCACATGACGACAGTCACATGACAACACACATGACGGCAGTCACATGACAACACACATGACGGCAGTCACATGACAACACTCACATGACGACAGTCACATGACGACAGTCACATGACAACACACATGACGGTAGTCACATGACAACACACATGACGACAGTCACATGACAACACACATGACGGCAGTCACATGACAACAGTCACATGACGGCAGTCACATGACAACAGTCACATGACGGCAGTCACATGACGACAGTCACATGACGGCAGTCACATAACACTCACATGACGGCAGTCACATGACAACACTCACATGACGGCAGTCACATGACAACACTCACATGACGGCAGTCACATGACAACAGTCACATGACAATACTCACATGACGGCAGTCACATGACAACAGTCACATGACAGCAGTCACATGACGACAGTCACATGACAGCAGTCACATGAATCAATCACTCAATCAAATTGTATTCATTTTTCCGGCTTCTCATTGGTTCACGCGTTTTGACACGCCTCCTTGGTTTGACAGCTTTCAGTGGATAGAAGCTAACGCTAATTATCCATCCATCTTCTTCCCCTTAATCCATTTCTGGGTCGAGGGGATGGTCAGAGGTGCACTCAGTACACAGAGCACCAGCCCCTCACTGATCCTCCTGCAGGAGGTGAGTCCACAGGAGGACGGCTGCTCTATGGCATAGCCTTGATCTTTCAGTGGGGGCTTCAGGCAAAGTGGGTTAAGTGTCTTGACCAAGGACACAACGACAGCAGACATCAGTGGGAGTTGGTGGAGAAGGTCGAACCCACGACCTTCAGGCTCAAAGGCCAATGCTCTACTGACTGAGCCACTGTCGTCTCGCTTGTTGGTAAGGAGACAGTGTTGTGTACTGAGGAGACAGTGTTGTGTTGTGTTGTGTAGTGTAGTGAGGATGTCCACTTCCTTTGTCACTCGTTTCAGTAAATTGTTTATAAATGTGAATACAATTATAGTTAAAGACCTTATGCCGGGTTTGATTTATTTAGAAATACAGTTTTAATACCATTTTATATTAGAAGAGAACTACTAAAGGTTTCAAAATCAGTTGTTGTTTTTTTTGTCTGATCCCCCCAAATTTAAATAACCCCATAGCAACGCCCTTAGAGACGAGAAAACTTCACAGCCCTTGGTGACGTCAGAACGGGTACGTTTCAACGCTGTAAGTTGTTTACAATTTGGTATTCGTTCTTTTTTCGCGGATATTCAAGATGACAAGGTCGTGTACAGCGAGTCTGACATAAATACTAGATTGTAATTCTTCGTTGGCACTGAGAGGGGTTCAAATCCCACCTCAGACACATTTTCACTCTCAAACGGCAATTTATGTGTAGTGAGCAATTGTCACCTGTAGAGTGCAGTATTGTGTTGGGCATCAGTGGAGAGAAGAGAGAAAAGGCAGTCCTGTGGCATAGATCCATGGTTTTCAATGCATGGGCGTTGCCCGCTGTGACTCACACACAGGTTAGAACATAGACAACTTAAATTCATGAAAAACACGTTCTTTTTATAAAATATAGGATTTTTTTTGCCGGAATCTATTTCAGATTGACATTGTCATGCAATTTTGAGATCCACAATTTTTCTTTTTAAAGACCCGGCATAAGGTCTTTAAAGGAGCTGCTGGTTTTGCAGGTTTTCTTCAGTTTGAATGTTTAGCCCCGCCCCCAACTCGCTCACAGGCTTCTCATTTCCCCGACGCTCTCCTCCCACGGAGCCATCTAGTTTTATTTGCGATCTATATGCTAACATTAGCATTAGCACAACTTCTTGTAAGCTGTACAACAATCAATGGTACAAAAGCAACGCACTGCTAACACAATATATAACAGAAAGATTACCGCTAGATTTGCGTCCGAATATGGTCCGAGCGTAGATAGTCCGAGCGTAGATAGTCCGAGCGTAGATAGTCCGAGCGTAGGTAGTCCAAGCGTAGGTAGTCCGAGCGTAGATAGTCCGAGCGTAGATAGTCCGAGCGTAGGTAGTCCAAGCGTAGGTAGTCCGAGCGTAGATAGTCCGAGCGTAGATAGTCCGAGCGTAGGTAGTCCAAGCGTAGGTAGTCCGAGCGTAGATAGTCCGAGCGTAGATAGTCCGAGCGTAGATAGTCCGAGTGTAGGTAGTCCGAGCGTAGATAGTCCGCGAGTAGATAGTCCGAGCGTAGATAGTCCGAGCGTAGATAGTCCGAGCGTAGATAGTCCGAGCGTAGATAGTCCGAGCGTAGATGGTCCGAGCGTAGATGGTCCGAGCGTAGATAGTCCGAGGGTAGATAGTCCGAGCGTAGATAGTCCGAGGGTAGATAGTCCGAGCGTAGATAGTCCGAGGGTAGATAGTCCGAGCGTAGATAGTCCGAGCGTAGATAGTCCGAGGGTAGATAGTCCGAGCGTAGATAGTCCGAGCGTAGATAGTCCGAGCATAGATAGTCCGAGCGTAGATAGTCCGAGGGTAGATAGTCCGAGCGTAGATAGTCCGAGCGTAGATAGTCCGAGCGTAGATAGTCCGAGCGTAGATAGTCCGAGCGTAGATAGTCCGAGCGTAGATAGTCCGAGCGTAGATAGTCCGAGCGTAGATAGTCCGAGAGTAGATAGTCCGAGCGTAGATAGTCCGAGGGTAGATAGTCCGAGCATAGGTAGTCCGAGGCGGTCCCGCTCCCGCAGGTCTCTCCAGAGGATACGATGTAAGCTAACGCTACGTATGTTCACCCGGGCTTGATTTCTTCTATGATAATTTTTTCGCTTTAGTTCCCTCTTCTCCTCCTCACTTTTCAGTCGTTTGGGCTGTTTTTCTGTGTCTGCAGTTGCAGCAAGAGGAGTTATAGCCACTTTCTGCTAAAATGCTGCTGTGTTTACCTACGCTGCAGATGCTAGAGGAGGCGTGGTCTAGAGGAGGCGTGGCCTAGAGGAGGCGTGGTCTAGAGGAGGCGTGGCCTAGATGAGGCGTGGTCTAGAGGAGGCGTGGCCTAGAGGAGGCATGGACTGTTTGTAACAGCTCCGCCACTCGTTCTGTGAGTGGCGGAGAGCTAGCGTCACGCTAAGTTTCTACTCAGCACTTGCTACGGCCTGAAGTCAAAGTCACACATTTTTATGAACTCATTAGAAAATAAATCAGGTATAGATCCTTCAATTTAAATGTCTAGAAACTGCAGTGTTACATGTGTCCACTAGAGGTCAGTGTTACATGTGTCCACTAGAGGTCAGTGTTACATGTGTCCACAAGAGGTCAGTGCTGAGACAAGAGGAGACCAGAGGAGACCAGAGACAGACCAAAGAGAGAGACCAGAGAGAGACCAGAGAGAGAGACCAGAGAGAGACCAAAGAGAGACCAGAGACAGACCAAAGAGAGAGACCAGAGAGAGACCAAAGAGAGACCAGAGAGAGACCAAAGAGAGACCAGAGACAGACCAAAGAGAGAGACCAGAGAGAGACCAAAGAGAGACCAGAGAGAGACCAGAGACAGACCAGAGAGAGACCAGAGAGAGACCAGAGACAGACCAGAGAGAGACCAAAGAGAGAGACCAAAGAGAGACCAGAGACAGACCAAAGAGAGAGACCAGAGAGAGACCAAAGAGAGACCAGAGACAGACCAGATAGAGACCAGAGAGAGACCAGACCAGGCCTTCTCTGTGGTCTTGCAGCACATTGGTACACTGGTGCTATAAAAATAACTTTGAACCTTGAACTTCCCAACGATGCGGTCCTCGTCGGTGGCGTTCTGCTCCTCGTCGTCTCCGGCTTTTCCTCTGAACAGGTTAAAACTGTGGAGCCAGTCTTCAAAGTTATCAAACTCACTCTCAAGCTCTTTATGGTACACCTGGGGAGGAACAAGACAGTGAGACCAGAGAGACCAGAGAGAGAGACCAGAGAGAGACCAGAGAGAGAGACCAGAAAGAGAGACCAGAGAGAGACCAGAGAGAGACCAGAGAGAGAGACCAGAGAGAGACCAGAGAGAGACCAGAGAGAGAGACCAGAGAGAGGCCAGAGAGAGACCAGAGAGAGACCAGAGGGAGACCAGAGAGAGACCAGAGAGAGACCAGAGAGAGACCAGAGAGAGACCAGAGAGAGACCAGAGAGAGACCAGAGAGAGACCAGAGGGAGACCAGAGAGAGACCAAAGAGAGACCAGAGAGAGACCAGAGAGAGACACCAGAGAGAGACCAGAGAGAGACCAGAGAGAGACACCAGAGAGAGACCAGAGAGAGACACCAGAGAGAGACCAGAGAGAGACCAGAGGGAGACCAGAGAGAGACCAGAGAGAGACCAGAGAGAGACCAGAGAGAGACCAGAGAGAGACCAGAGAGAGACCAGAGGGAGACCAGAGAGAGACCAAAGAGAGACCAGAGAGAGACCAGAGAGAGACACCAGAGAGAGACCAGAGAGAGACCAGAGAGAGACCAGAGAGAGACACCAGAGAGAGACCAGAGAGAGACCAGAGAGAGACACCAGAGAGAGACCAGAGAGAGACCAGAGAGAGACCAGAGGGAGACCAGAGGGAGACCAGAGAAGGACCAGGGGAAACCAGAGAGAGACCAGGGAGAGACTAGAGAGGGACTATAGTGGGACTGGGGGAGACCAGAGAGAGATTTCCAGGACAATAAATGTCCAGGTACCTTGAGCTCGTCCAGTTTGGGTTTCTTCTTCTCAAACGGGTCGTGGACCATGGACTTCTTCTTTCGGCCTTTTCCTTTCTTGGATCCTTTCACAGGAGATTCATCCAGATTGATTTCTGAGATTACGGCGAAGAAGAAGAGACAGAGAAGGTTCCGAACTCAGCATGAAAGCCTTCAAACAGGACTACCACAGAGACCAGAATGAGACAAGAGGGACCAGAGAGAGACCAGGGGGACCAGAGAAACACCATGCAGAGAGAATATAGAGACAGCAGAGGGACCAGAGAGAGAATAGATAGAGACCAGAAAGAGACCAGAGAGACCAGAGAGAGACCAGAGAGACCAGAGAGACCAGAGAGAGACCAGAGAGACCAGAGAGAGACCAGAGAGACCAGAGAGACCAGACCAGAGAGACTAGCGTAGCCGTTAGCTTCACGCTGGTCTGCTGTTTATAAAGTGGATCAGTGTTGAGGACTTTCATGTCAGCATCTCTGTGCTTCACACACATTCACACACTGAAGACATGTGAGGACAGAGGACTACTACTACTGCTACTGCTACTGCTGCTGCTACTGCTACTGCTGCTGCTACTGCTACTGCTGCTGCTGCTACTGCTGCTGCTACTGCTGCTGCTACTGCTACTGCTGCTACTACTGCTGCTGCTACTGCTACTGCTACTGCTACTGCTGCTGCTACTGCTACTGCTGCTGCTGCTACTACTGCTGCTGCTGCTGCTGCTGCTGCTGCTACTGCTGCTGCTGCTACTGCTGCTGCTACTGCTGCTGCTACTGCTGCTGCTACTGCTGCTACTACTGCTGCTGCTGCTGCTACTGCTGCTGCTGCTACTGCTGCTGCTGCTACTGCTGCTGCTGCTACTGCTGCTGCTACTGCTGCTGCTACTGCTGCTGCTACTGCTGCTACTACTGCTGCTGCTGCTGCTACTGCTACTGCTGCTACTACTGCTGCTGCTACTGCTACTGCTGCTACTACTACTACTACTGTTACTGCTACTGCTACTACTACTACTGCTACTACTACTGCTACTACTACTACTGTTACTACTACTACTACTACTGTTACTGCTATTGCTACTGCTGCTACTACTACTACTACTACTACTACTACTACTACTACTGCTGCTGCTGCTGCTACTACTGCTACTGCTACTGAAAACTGGTTTGTCTTAAACCTCTCGATGGTATTGTTGGTTCCTGTGCTGCTGGTACGGCTGCAGGACTCTACATGGTCTCTGTCTCTTTAAGATGTCAACTATAAACTCATAACATGTTTTACCTCCATCGGCCAAATCCATGTCGTTATTGTCCTCTGTGTCGGAGAGAGCAGATTCCTGAGCCCGGAGCACCTGGAGGGAAACCACAAATACTACAGTCCTAATAGTAGATAAGAGTTGAAAAACACTGTTTTCAGGGAAAGACACAAGAGGGACCAGAGAGAGACCAGAGAGAGAGACCAGAGAGAGACCAGAGAGAGACTAGAAAGAGAGGAACCAGAGAGAGAACAGAGAGAGAGACCAGAGAGAGACTAGAGAGAGAGACCAGAGAGAGACTAGAGAGAGAGACCAGAGAGAGACTAGAAAGAGAGGAACCAGAGAGAGACCAGAGAGAGGGACCAGAGAGAGACTAGAAAGAGAGGAACCAGAGAGAGAACAGAGAGAGAGACCAGAGAGAGACTAGAGAGAGAGACCAGAGAGAGACTAGAAAGAGAGGAACCAGAGAGAGACCAGAAAGAGAGACCATAAAGAGACTAGAAAGAGAGGAACCAGAGAGAGACCAGAGAGAGAGACCAGAGGGAGACCAGAGAGAGAGACCAGAGTGAGACTAGAAAGAGAGGAACCAGAGAGAGATCAGAGAGAGAGACCAGAGAGAGACCAGAGAGAGACCAGAGAGAGACCAGAGAGAGAGACCAGCGAGAGAGACCAGAGAGAGACCAGAGAGAGAGACCAGAGAGGGACCAGAGAGAGAGACCAGAGGGAGACCAGAGAGAGACCAGAGAGGGACCAGAGAGAGACCAGAGAGAGACCAGAGAGAGGGACCAGAGAGAGACCAGAAAGAGACCAGAGAGAGACCAGAGAGAGAGACCAGAAAGGGACCAGAGAGACCAGAGAGAGACCAGAGAGAGACCAGAGAGAGAGACCAGAGAGATCCTAGAAAGAGAGGAACCAGAGAGAGAACAGAGAGAGAGACCAGAGAGAGACTAGAGAGAGAGACCAGAGAGAGACTAGAAAGAGAGGAACCAAAGAGAGACCAGAGAGAGAGAGACCAGAGAGAGACTAGAAAGAGAGGAACCAGAGAGAGACCAGAGAGAGAGACCAGAGAGAGACCAGAGAGAGACTAGAAAGAGAGGAACCAGAGAGAGACCAGAGAGAGAGACCAGAGGGAGACCAGAGAGAGACCAGAGAGAGAGACCAGAGTGAGACTAGAAAGAGAGGAACCAGAGAGAGACCAGAGCGATACTAGAAAGAGAGGAACCAGAGAGAGACCAGAGAGAAACCAGAGAGAGACTAGAAAGAGAGGAACCAGAGAGAGACCAGAGAGAGACCAGAGAGAGAGACCAGAGAGAGAGACCAGAGAGAGAGACCAGAGAGAGACCAGAGAGAGACCAGAGAGAGACCAGAGAGAGACCAGAGAGAGAGACCAGAGAGAGACCAGAGAGAGACCAGAGAGAGAGACCAGAGAGAGAGACCAGAGAGAGACCAGAGAGAGACCAGAGAGAGAGACCAGAGAGAGACCAGAGAGAGACCAGAGAGGGACCAGAGAGAGAACAGAGAGAGACCAGAGAGAGACCAGAGAGAGACCAGAGAGAGACCAGAGAGAGAGACCAGAGAGAGACCAGAGAGAGAGACCAGAGAGAGAGACCAGAGAGGGACCAGAGAGAGACCAGAGAGAGACCAGAGAGAGAGACCAGAGAGAGAGACCAGAGAGGGACCAGAGAGAGACCAGAGAGAGAGACCAGAGAGAGAGACCAGAGAGGGACCAGAGAGAGACCAGAGAGAGGGACCAGAGAGAGAGACCAGAGAGAGACCAGAGAGAGACCTAGATAAGAAATATGGAAACTTTACAACATATTTTTTACCAGGACAAATGTATAAAGGGAAGCGCAGCACACACACACACACACACACACACACACACACACACACACACACACACACACACACACACACACACACACACACACACACACCTCGGTCAGAGTCTCTATAGAGGCGAAGTACTTGGACCACCAGTCCAACATGCTCTCGTCCAGACCCTCCTCCTCCACCTCCTCCCCCTTCTTACGCTTCTTCTTCCCCTTCACGTCGTCCTGGAAACAACAAACACACACACACACAAACAAACACACACACAAATAAACACACAAATGAATAAACTCGGCGACATCATCAGGTGTTAAACTTCATCACAGTCTGGTCTAAAACCATCTCCTGGACATGTTTTAAAAATACATATACATGTAATTCCTCATTTGTCTACAGATGGACAATGCTAACCCACTAGCTTTATGCTAACCTGTTAGCTCATTGCTAACCCACTAGCTGAATGCTAACCCACTAGCTATATGCTAACCTGTTAGCTCATTGCTAACCCACTAGCTGAATGCTAACCCACTAGCTATATGCTAACCTGTTAGCTCATTGCTAACTCACTAGCTGAATGCTAACCCCCTAGCTTTATGCTAACCTGTTAGCTCATTGCTAACCCACTAGCTGAATGCTAACCCACTAGCTTTATGCTAACTTTCATATTGTGCTGTTGTGTTGTTGTTGTTGTGCTGTTGTGTTGCTGCAGTCACTGACCTCGTTCTAAAATTAGTCAAACACTGATCTCACCTCCACCTTCACCACAGCATCAGAGCCCTGAAGGACACACAACATACACACACATCAGAGACACACATCAGAGCCCTGAAGGACACACAACATACACACACATCAGAGACACACATCAGAGCCCTGAAGGACACACAACATACACACACATCAGAGACACACATCAGAGCCCTGAAGGACACACAACATACACACACATCAGAGACACACATCAGAGCCCTGAAGGACACACAACATACACACACATCAGAGACACACGTCAGAGCCCTGAAGGACACACAACATACACACACATCAGAGACACACATCAGAGCCCTGAAGGACACACAACATACACACACATCAGAGACACACATCAAAGCCCTGAAGGACACACAACATACACACACATCAGAGACACACATCAGAGCCCTGAAGGACACACAACATACACACACATCAGAGACACACAACAGAGCCCTGAAGGACACACAACAGACACACACATCAGAGACACACAACAGAGCCCTGAAGGACACACAACAGACACACACATCAGAGACACACAACAGAGCCCTGATGGACAAACAACAGACACACACATCAGAGACACACAACAGACACACACATCAGAGACACACAACAGAGCCCTGAAGGACACACAACAGACACACACATCAGAAACACACAACAGAGCCCTGAAGGACACACAACAGACACAGCCCTGAAGGACACACAACAGACACACACATCAGAGACACACAACAGACACACACATCAGAGACACACAACAGACACACATATCAGATACACACAACAGAGACCTGAAGAACAGCAGGAGAACAGCAGGAGAACAGCAGGAGAACAGAAGAACAGCAGGAGAACAGCAGGAGAACAGCAGGAGAACAGAAGAACAACAGGAGAACAGCAGGAGAACAGCATGAGAACAGCAGGAGAACAGAAGAACAACAGGAGAACAGCAGGAGAACAGCAGAAGAACAGCAGGAGAACAGCATGAGAACAGCATGAGAACAGCAGGAGAACAGCAAGAGAACAGCAGGAGAACAGAAGAACAGCAGGAGAACAGAAGAACAGCAGGAGAACAGAAGAACAGCAGGAGAACAGCAGGAGAACAGAAGAACAACAGAAGAACAGCAGGAGAACAGCAGGAGAACAGAAGAACAGCAGGAGAACAGCAGGAGAACAGCATGAGAACAGCAGGAGAACAGAAGAACAACAGGAGAACAGCAGAAGAACAACAGGAGAACAGCAGGAGAACAGAAGAACAGCAGGAGAACAGCAGGAGAACAGCAGGAGAACAGCAGAAGAACAGCAGGAGAACAGCATGAGAACAGCAGGAGAACAGCAAGAGAACAGCAGGAGAACAGCAGGAGAACAGCAGGAGAACAGCATGAGAACAGCAGCAGAACAGCAGGAGAACAGCAGGAGAACAGCAGGAGAACAGCATGAGAACAGCAGCAGAACAGCAGGAGAACAGAAGAACAGCAGGAGAACAGCAGGAGAACAGCAGCAGAACAGCAGCAGAACAGCAGCAGAACAGCAGGAGAACAGCAGGAGAACAGCAGCAGAACAGCAGAAGAACAGCAGGAGAACAGCTAGGAGAACAGCATGAGAACAGCAGGAGAACAGCAGCAGAACAGCAGGAGAACAGCAGGAGAACAGAAGAACATCAGGAGAACAGCAGCAGAACAGCAGCAGAACAGCAGCAGCAAGAACAGCAGCAGAACAGCAGGAGAACAGCATGAGAACAGCAGGAGAACAGCAGGAGAACAGCAGGAGAACAGCATGAGAACAGCAGGAGAACAGCAGCAGAACAGCAGCAGAACAGCAGGAGAACAGCAGCAGAACAGCAGCAGAACAGCAGGAGAACAGCAGGAGAACAGCAGGAGAACAGCAGCAGAACAGCAGCAGAACAGCATGAGAACAGCAGGAGAACAGCAGGAGAACAGCAGCAGAACAGCAGGAGAACAGCAGGAGAACAGCAGGAGAACAGCAGAGAACAGCAGGAGAACAGCAGCAGAGAACAGCAGGAGAACAGCAGGAGAACAGAAGAACAGCAGGAGAACAGCAGGAGAACAGCAGGAGAACAGCAAGAACAACAGGAGAACAGCAGGAGAACAGAGAACAGCAGGAGAACAGAAGAACAGCAGGAGAACAGCAGGAGAACAGCAGAACAGCAGGAGAACAGCAGAGAACAGCAGGAGAACAGCAGGAGAACAGCAGGAGAACAGCAGAGAACAGCAGCAGAGAACAGCAGAGAACAGCAGAGAAACAGCAGCAGAACAGCAGGAGAACAGCAGAGAACAGCAGGAGAACAGCAGGAACAGAAACAGCAGAGAACAGCAGGAGAACAGCAGGAGAACAGCATGAGAACAGCAGGAGAACAGCAGCAGAGACAGCAGGAGAACAGCAGGAGAACAGCAGAACACAGGAGAACAGCAGGAGAACAGCAGGAGAACAGCATGAGAACAGCAGCAGAACAGCAGGAGAACAGCAGGAGAACAGAAGAACATCAGGAGAACAGCAGGAGAACAGCAGGAGAACAGCAGCAGAACAGCAGCAGAACAGCAGCAGAACAGCATTAGAACAGCAGGAGAACAGCAGCAGAACAGCAGGAGAACAGCATGAGAACAGCAGGAGAACAGCAGGAGAACAGCAGGAGAACAGCATGAGAACAGCAGGAGAACAGCAGCAGAACAGCAGCAGAACAGCAGGAGAACAGCAGCAGAACAGCAGGAGAACAGCATGAGAACAGCAGCAGAACAGCAGGAGAACAGCATGAGAACAGCAGGAGAACAGCAGCAGAACAGCAGCAGAACAGCAGGAGAACAGCATGAGAACAGCAGGAGAACAGCAGGAGAACAGCAGCAGAACAGCAGAAGAACAGGAGGAGAACAGCAGGAGAACAGCATGAGAACAGCAGGAGAACAGCAGCAGAACAGCAGGAGAACAGCAGGAGAACAGAAGAACATCAGGAGAACAGCAGGAGAACAGCAGGAGAACAGCATGAGAACAGCAGCAGAACAGCAGGAGAACATAAGAACAGCAGGAGAACAGAAGAACAGCAGGAGAACAGCAGCAGAACAGCAGAACAGCAGGAGAACAGCATGAGAACAGCAGGAGAACAGCAGGAGAACAGCAGCAGAACAGCAGGAGAACAGCAGGAGAACAGCATGAGAACAGCAGGAGAACAGCAGCAGAACAGCAGAAGAACAGCAGGAGAACAGGAGGAGAACAGCAGGAGAACAGCTAGGAGAACAGCAGGAGAACAGCAGGAGAACAGCATGAGAACAGCAGGAGAACAGCAGCAGAACAGCAGGAGAACAGCAGGAGAACAGAAGAACATCAGGAGAACAGCAGGAGAACAGCAGGAGAACAGCATGAGAACAGCAGCAGAACAGCAGGAGAACAGCAGCAGAACAGCATGAGAAAAGCAGGAGAACAGCATGAGAACAGCAGAACAGCAGGAGAACAGCAGGAGAACAGCAGGAGAACAGCATGAGAACAGCAGGAGAACAGCAGCAGAACAGCAGGAGAACAGCAGGAGAACAGAAGAACAGCAGGAGGACAGAAGAACAGCAGGAGAACAGAGGAACAGCAGGAGAACAGAAGAACAGCAGGAGAACAGCAGCAGAACAGCAGCAGAGCAGAAGGACAGCAGGAGAACAGCAGAAGAACAGCAGGAGAACAGCAGGAGAACAGGAGGAGAACAGCAGGAGAACAGCAGCAGAACAGCAGGAGAACAGCAGGAGAACAGTAGAACAACAGGAGAACAGCAGGAGAACAGAAGAACAGCAGGAGAACAGCAGGAGAACAGCAGCAGAACAGCAGGAGAACAGCAGGAGAACAGCAGAAGAACAGCAGGAGAACAGCAGGAGAACAGCAGGAGAACAACAGGAGAACAGCAGGAGAACAGCAGGAGAAGAGAAGAACAGCAGGAGAACAGAAGAACAGCAGCAGCAGCAGAACAGCAGGAGAACAGCATGAGAACAGCAGAACAGCAGGAAAACAGCAGGAGAACAGAAGAACAGCAGAAGAACAGCAGGAGAACAGCAGCAGAACAGCATGAGAACAGCAGAACAGTAGGAAAACAGCAGGAGAACAGAAGAACAGCAGGAGAACAGCATGAGAACAGCAGGAGAACAGCAGGAGAACAGCAGAACAGCAGGAGAACAGCAGGATCCTAAGCGAGTGTTGTGTTTGAGGCTGAACTCACTGAGTCCAGTTTGACGACTGTGTCCATCTTCTTAAAGTTGGTTTCAGGTTCAGCGTTCACCACAACTATCTCCTCTGAAGACACACACATGGTATCAGAGACCAGGGAGAGACCAGAGGGACCAGGAAAAGACCAGGGAGAGACCAGAGGGACCAGGAAGAGACCAGGGAGAGACCAGAGGGACCAGGAAGAGACCAGAGAGAGACCAGAGATAGACGAGGGAGACCGGGGAGAGACCAGAGAGAGACCAGGGAGAGACCAGAGACAGGTCTGCCCTGTCTCTGGTTACTGGTGGTAAAGGCAGAGCTCTGGGTAGGCCGCTGCTCCCTCCTATTGCTGGTCTTACCATTGGTGTTCCAGTTGTTGGTTTGCTTGTCCCCGCGGTGGATGAACTTCCGGAGCATGGTGACGGCGTGAGAGCCCACCAGAGTGTAGCGTCCGAACGCACGGCAGTCCACCACACGGATGTTCAGAGGCGGGTGGAGGAGCTCGTTCTCTGGGAGGTCCTGAGGAGACCAGGGGGTTAGGGACCAGGGAAGGACCAGAGAGGGACCAGAGAGAGACCAGAGAGGGACCAGAGAGAGACCAGAGAGGAACCAGAGAGAGACCAGAGAGGGACCAGAGAGGGACCATGTATCTCTCTGTCCTTGGGTGTCTCTCCTGCTGGTACTCACCACCTCGAACCACTTGACCAGCGTGCTGAAGTTGGGGTTCTTGCGATAGTTTGGGATGAGCGCGGACTGGACGCCTTTCCCTGCGCACTCAATGTCCACACGGGGGCGATCTACCTGCGCCAGGTTCACACGCTTCAGGTCACGCAGGCCCCAGAACAAGACCTGCACAACCAGCAAGGAGGACACCAGGTGAGTGAAGACCAGAGACAAGAGAGAGCAAAGAGAGCACAGAGACCAGAGTGAGACCAGAGAGAGAGACCAGAGAGAGACTAGAGAGAGAGACCAGAGAGAGACCAGAGAGAGAGACCAGAGAGAGACAGAAACAGTCAGTGTGTGTGTGTGTGATTATAGGTGATAAAAAATAAAAATAAAAGTGTGTGACCTCGATGCGGTACTTGCTGAGCACCGGGCGGATCCCTAGAGGCACCGGGAGGATGGGGCCCCTCTCCAGGTCTGAGGGGCCCTCGATGGGCGGCAGGTCAGCTTTCCCGTTGGGTCCGATCTCAAACACACAAATAACATCAGTTTGAACTTACTCAATATCAGAGTTTAAATCAGTAAGGGAGAACTAGAGACCAGAGAGATGGTCCCTCTGGTCTCTCTCTGGTCTCTCTCTGGTCTCTCTATAGTCTCTCTCTCTCTCTGGTCTCTCTCTGGTCTCTCTATAGTCTCTCTATAGTCTCTCTCTGGTCTCTCTCTGGTCTCTCTCTGGTCTCTCTCTGGTCTCTCTCTGGTCTCTCTCTGGTCTCTCTCTGGTCTCTCTCTGGTCTCCCTCTGGTCTCCCTCTGGTCTCCCTCTGGTCTCCCTCTGGTCTCCCTCTGGTCTCCCTCTGGTCTCTCCCTGGTCTCCCTCTGGTCTCTCTCTGGTCTCACCTGCAGCAGTTCAAAGGCAGCTAGCATCTCTCCCGCGGTGCAGTTTCCTCTGTAGATCTGGTAGTACTCGAGCTGAGGAGGGAAGCGTGGGGGGCCGTAGTGTTCGTCGGCCATCTTGACCACAGGTTTGGCGAAGGTCCTGCCCATGAAGTCTGCTTTCCCCTAGGACAGAGACTCACACAGCCGTGACAGCGGCTCTACAACGAGCTCCCAGTGTGAGAGGCAGAAACACGGCTCTGTGCACGTGTTTCCAACAGGAGCAGATAAAGCTACACCATCCTCAAATCTAACCAGACCTTCATGGTCCAGACCTTCATGGTCCAGAAATTCATGGTCCAGACCTTCATGGTCCCAGACTGAAGTCCCAAACACAACAGGGACAAAACATTTGTAAAAAGTCTCTTGTACAAGTTTAATGTTGCAGATTTTTCATCTCTCTGGTCTCTCTCTGGTCTCTCTCTCTGGTCTCTCTCTCTGGTCTCTCTCTGGTCTCTCTCTGGTCTCTCTCTGGTCTCTCTCTGGTCTCTCTCTCTGGTCTCTCTCTGGTCTCTCTCTGGTCTCTCTCTCTGGTCTCTCTCTGGTCTCTCTCTGGTCTCTCTCTTGTCACTCTCTGGTCTCTCTCTGGTCTTAGATTTGGAGATAATGGTGCAGCTCTAAAAACACAGACTATAAATACAATGAACCAAAACCAGTGAACTGCAAAACAGGAGCCAGCCTCCGTCTCAGCACGAGTCAAAGATCTTGAGTCTCTCTTGCAGTCAGTGGTTAAACAGGCTCTAAACAACAGGCGGCCATCTTGTGACTGATTGTCAGAACTCAATTTGATGTTAATTATTTCAAAATGGCAGATAACAGCACTGAATTAGTCATGGCCTCTCCCTGGTCTCTCTCTGGCCTCTCCCTGGTCTTTCTCTCTCTCTCTCTCTCTCTCTCTGGCCTCTCCCTGGTCTCTCTCTCTCTGGCCTCTCCCTGGTCTTTCTCTCTCTCTCTCTCTCTCTCTCTGGCCTCTCCCTGGTCTCTCTCTCTCTGGCCTCTTTCTGGTCTCGCTCTCTCTGGTCTCCCGAGTTCCTCTCATGTCTGATTTGTTCTCTGGTCTCTCTCTCTCTGGTTTCTCTCTCTAGTCTCTGTCTCTGGTCTCTCTCTCTGGCCTCTCCCGGGTCTTCCTCTGGTCTCTCTCTGGTCTCTCTCTGGTCTCTCTCTGGTCTCTCTCTGGTCTCTCTCTCTGGTCTCTCTCTGGTCTCTCTCTGGTCTCTCTCTGGTCTCTCTCTGGTCTCTCTCTGGTCTCTCTCTGTTCTCTCTCTGTTCTCTCTCTGTACTCTCTCTGTACTCTCTCTGTACTCTCTCTCTGATTTTTATCCCTGTTGCAGAATACGTGTCAGTTCATACAGTCACAAGATGGCCGCCACACTCAAAGCAGCAGTAACTGCACTTGCTCTAGTCCCTACTGCACCGTACTGGGTCTAAACCATAGACTGTATATTAGGATTATGGACATTTATTCTGACGGCGTTAGCTTCACGCCATAACAGGGGCAATCATGTTGCTAAGAGCTAGCAATTAGCATTGAGCTAGTGGTTTAGCATTGTCCATCTGTATACAGTCTTTGGTCTAAACATGCAAAAACACAATGTTATTAAAGAAATGCAACAGGGACAGGTGTGAGAGGATGGTCCCGGTCCTTGATGGTCCCGGTCCTTGATGGTCTCTGTCCTTGTTGCATGTCTTTGATGCACACGGAACAGTGGCTCTTTGAAAACACAAACTCTACTTATCCAAACGAGGTCCGAACACCAGACGTGAAAAATGCAGTTAGCAAAATAAAAACAAAAACACTGAGGACGGGCCTGAGCTTTGGTTTTATCTGGAGGCTGTCGCTGCTGCAGCCGACGTCCCCTGGTGGAGGATTGTGGTACTGCAGCCTATATCCACATGGACCAAGTGTGACATCACCACAGTGTGACATCACCAGTGTTCGCCTTTGCAGAAGAAACTGATTTGAACATAAGCTAGAGTCAGTTTCATTACAGTGCCTTGCGAAAGTATTCGGCCCCCTTGAACCTTTGAACATTTCACCACATTTCAGGCTTCAAACATAAAGATATAAAAATATAAAATATTTGTCAAGAATCAACAACAAGTGGGACACAATCGTGAAGTGGAACAAATTTATTGGATAATTTAAACTTTTTTAACAAATAAAAAACTGAAAAGTGAGGCGTGCAATATTATTCGGCCCCCTTGCGCTAATACTTTGTAGCGCCACCTTTTGCTGCAATTACAGCTGCAAGTCGCTTGGGGTATGTCTCTATCAGTTTTGCACATCGAGAGACTGGAATTCTTTCCCATTCTTCCTTGCAAAACAGCTGGAGCTCAGTGAGGTTGGATGGAGAGCGTTTGTGAACAGCAGTCTTCAGCTCTTTCCACAGATTCTCGATTGGATTCAGGTCTGGACTTTGACTTGGCCATTCTAACACCTGGATACGTCTATTTGTGAACCATTCCATTGTAGATTTGGCTTTATGTTTTGGATCATTGTCCTGTTGGAAGATAAATCTCCGTCCCAGTCTCAGGTCTTTTGCAGACTCCAACAGGTTTTCTTCCAGAATGGTCTTGTATTTGGCTCCATCCATCTTCCCATCCATTTTAGCCATCTTCCCTGTCCCTGCTGAAGAAAAGCAGGCCCAAAGCATGATGCTGCCACCACCATGTTTGACAGTGGGGATGGTGTGTTCAGGGTGTGTTGCTTTTATGCCAAACATATCGTTTTGCATTGTGGCCAAAAAGTTTGATTTTGGTTTCATCTGACCAGAGCACCTTCTTCCACATGTTTGGTGTGTCTCCCAGGTGGCTTATGGCAAACTTTAAACCAGACTTTTTATGGATATCTTTGAGAAATGGCTTTCTTCTTGCCACTCTTCCATAAAGGCCAGATTTGTGCAGTGCACGACTGATTGTTGTCCTATGGACAGACTCTCCCACCTCAGCTGTAGTTATCTGCAGTTCATCCAGAGTGATCATGGGCCTCTTGGCTGCATCTCTGATCAGTCTTCTCCTTGTTTGAGATGAAAGTTTGGAGGGACGGCCAGGTCTTGGTAGATTTGCAGTGGTCTGATACTCCTTCCATTTCAATATAATTGCTTGCACAGTGCTCCTTGAGATGTTTAAAGCTTGGAAAATCTTTTTGTATCCAAATCCGGCTTTAAACTTCTCCACAACAGTATCTCGGACCTGCCTGGTGTGTTTCTTTGTCTTCATGGTTCTCTCTGCGCTTTAAACAGAACCCTGAGACTATCAAAGAGCAGGTGCATTTATACGGAGACTTGATTACACACAGGTACATTCTATTTATCATCATCAGTCATTTAGGACAACATTGGATCATTCAAAGATCCTCACTGAACTTCTGGACTGAGTTTGCTGCACTGAAAGTAAAGGGGCCGAATAATATTGCACGCCCCACTTTTCAGTTTTTTATTTGTTAAAAAAGTTTAAATTATCCAATAAATGTCGTTCCACTTCACGATTGTGTCCCACTTGTTGTTGATTCATGACAAAAAATTAAATGTTTATATCTTTATGTAGGCCTGTCACGATAACAAATTTTGCTGGACGATTAATTGTCTCAGAAATTATTGCGATAAGCGATTATATTGTCGTTCTGAGATAATTTGCATCGATTACAATGATAATGCAGGTACACCTTTTCAAAGAGAAATAAACTTTTATTTTTAACAAATGTTTAACGCTAGAACACAATAAATTAACAAACAACCAAAAACAATAAATAAAAGTCTCTTAACAAAAAATGACCAGGAATAAAACTGCCAGGACCTTTGTAAAGAAAATATGAAATGCCTCAAATGTCAAAAATTTCTCAGACTTTATGGCAGATTACGAGAAAGAAATACCAACATGTTGACTTTGTGTGGCTTAAGACAGGATCTCTCAGGAGTAGTCCCACCTCCCCACACACCAGGCGAATGACAAGTGACTGACATGTGGGTTCACCAATGGGGCGTACAGAAGTCCTGCTGCGGTAGCGCCCACCGGACGTAGCGGGGCGGGCTTTGATGCTAACAGCTAAGCTAGCGGGTTTTTTGTGTAAAGTTCTACTCCAAGAATGCAAGTCTGCAGCATCTCTGTGTTCAGAGACCTTCTAGAGACTTTATATAACAGCAGTATGTGTTCACGGAGGTGCGCCATAAGTTTATTTTATTGGTATGGTACGGTACTTCTGCATCGGCGAACACGCTAACGCTAGCTGCGCTAGTATAGTCACTAATCAAGCCTGAATGAGAACTCAGCTGCCGGCATATGTTCACAACTACTGTGTCCCCCATTGTCAATCCTGGTTAAGTCCTGGTTTAGGTCCTGTTTTGGCTGTATTTTGTATTTTTGAGTAATTTCCGTCTGCTTGCTAGACCGCTAATGTTCCCGTGACCACTTTGCGGCTCTCTGACCCGAGAGAGACGGGGGAAACAAACAAACAAGCATGCAAATGGGATTTATCGCGGCCAGAAAAGTTATTGAGCAAATTTTATTTATCGTGCGATTAATTGATTTATTGACTATCGCGACAGGCCTATCTTTATGTTTGAAGACTGAAATATGGCAAAATGTTGAAAGGTTCAAGGGGGCCGAGCACTGTATGTCGGGATATATTCCACGGCGTTAGCTTCACAGCGTAATAAGGGCAAACTTGTTGCTAAGACGGTTGCTAAGGAAAGCTGGAGTTTCCTCTGCTCTGATTGGTCAGAACAGGTGATCACCAGGTGCTGCTGCATAAACCAGACACCAGTGAGTCATGGAAGCTAACGGTGAATGAGCCATGGAAGCTAACGATGAATGAGCCATGGAAGCTAACGGTGAATGAGCCATGGAAGCTAACGATGAATGAGCCATGGAAGCTAACGGTGAATGAGTCATGGAAGCTAACGGTGAATGAGTCATGGAAGCTAACGATGAATGAGTCATGGAAGCTAACGGTGAATGAGTCATGGAAGCTAACGGTGAATGAGTCATGGAAGCTAACGGTGAATGAGCCATGGAAGCTAACGGTGAATGAGTCATGGAAGCTAACGATGAATGAGCCATGGAAGCTAACGATGAATGAGCCATGGAAGCTAACGGTGAATGAGTCATGGAAGCTAACGGTGAATGAGTCATGGAAGCTAACGATGAATGAGTCATGGAAGCTAACGGTGAATGAGTCATGGAAGCTAACGGTGAATGAGTCATGGAAGCTAACGGTGAATGAGCCATGGAAGCTAACGGTGAATGAGTCATGGAAGCTAACGATGAATGAGCCATGGAAGCTAACGGCGAATGAGTGAAACTGTCAAACACCTGGCCATTAAACCATATTGTGACCGGTTCAACCAGTCGTCACTATGCTACATTAAACATGAAAACCTGCGGTGTACATTCAGATGCACCTAACAGTCTAGAAAGTATGGTATTAGCATCTGAGTGCGTTTGTGTTCTCTTCGAAGAGAGCTACACGTTGGGACATGCGGGGTGGTCTCTCTGGACTAAGCCTCGGGTGTTGCTAATGAGGCGGCTTAAGGTCGGTCTGAAAACATGCTGCGGTCTCACCGTCTGAACCACAGGAAGCACTGTCTACAAAACAATCTCTGAAAGATCTGCGCCTTTCAAATTCTACTGTTTAGTCTTCGGACTGATCACACCTGGTCGAAGGCTCTGGCTGCTTTTAGTCTCAGGGCTTCAGTCTCAGGTCTCCAGTCTCAGGTCTCCAGTCTCAGGTCTTCGGTCTCAGTCTCAGTCTATTACCACTGAGTCCTGGTCGTAGATCTCAGGTCTCAGTCTCAGGCCTTTGGCCTCAGTCTCAGGTCGGCGGTGTCAGTCTCGGGTCTTCGGTGTCAGTCTCAGGTCTTCGGTGTCAGTCTCAGGTCTTCGGTGTCAGTCTCACGCCTTCGGTCTCAGTCTCACGTCTTCGGTCTCAGTCTCAGGTCTTCAGTCTCAGGTCTTCAGTCTCAAGTCTTCAGTCTCAGGTCTTTGGTCTCAGTCTCAGGTCTTCGGTCTCAGTCTCAGGTCTTCGGTCTCAGTCTCAGGTCTTCTGTGTCAGTCTCTTACCACTGTGTCCTGGTCGTAGATCTCGATGACGATAATCGGAGGGTCGTCTCTGAGTTCTGTGGCTTCTCCAAACAACTCCACGTTTTCAAACACCAGCAGCTGGTCCCAGGTCGGACACAGGGTCTCCGGGAGCACCTGGAGAGCAGGGACCAGGTGAGAGGACCATCAGAGGAGGCCCAGGAGAGGAGGCCCAGGAGAGAGGACCATCAGAGGAGTCCCAGGAGAGGAGGCCCAGGGGAGAGGACCATCAGAGGTACTAGAGTTCTGAGAGAGACTTGAGAAAGAGATCAGAGAGAGACACCAGAGAGACCAGAGAGAGACCAGAAAGAGCAATCAGACAGAGACCAGAGAGAGACCAGAACGAGACTAGTGAGAGATCAGAAAGAGACCTGAGAGAGACCAGAGAGACCAGACAGAGACCAGAAAGGGCTCTCTGTCCTCACCTCAGTGACTTGACTCTGTGTGGAGAAGAAGACTCTGGCGAAAGGATCGGAGAGTCCGGTGGAGTCTGCGGCGAAGAGACTGCGAGCCTGGTACATGTGCACACGCAGCTGGAACATCTGCTTCACTGGAGAAACATGCGACATCACCACAGTGTTAGCTTTAATGCTGAAGAGGCCGATTTCCCTATTGGACTTCATTGAGCTAGCGGGTTAGCATTGTCCATCTCTTTACAGTCTGTGTTAGCATTAGCATCTGTATACAGTCTGTGTTAGCATTATCCATCTGTATACAGTCTGTGTTAGCATTAGCATCTGTATACAGTCTGTGTTAGCATTAGCATCTGTATACAGTCTGTGTTAGCATTAGCATCTGTATACAGTCTGTGTTAGCATTAGCATCTGTATACAGTCTGTGTTAGCATGTGGGTGAGAACAGGGTCGGCACTAGATCATATACGGAATCGGGACGGAAGCGGAAGTAACATTCGTTACTCCCTTCAAATTGTATTACTTTTGAATTAGTTTTAGACTGTAAATCATGGATCCATAATAATAAATGTAAAAACACATAGAATATAAAAAATGATTAACTATAAATATCACATAACGGTAGTGTTATTCAGTTATACAGAACTATTAATGAGATAAAGCTTTTTGGGCTGTGTAAACATAGAGATGGACGTGTAGTCCAGTGGTCATGTCACAGAGCTGTCATTCGGGTAAACGGGGTTCGATTCCCAAGATGTAACCTTTTAAAAGTTGCTTTCACATTTCGAGTGTTCTATATAATATTATATGTAGACGTATCTGAGTAAGTTGTGCGAAAATAGGGACGGAGAAAATATGATCAATATGGAGGCACAGGAAACATGTTTTTGTTTTGGATCAAAATCCCAAGTATTTGAGGCATTTGATGGTTTCAAGAGTGAAACTACAAGTTCCCGGCGGTGTTTTCTTGTAGAAAAACAATTTGGTAAGATAAAACTTGCTTAAAATATAATATTATCAATGAGACAGGCAGTACAAGAGGTGGCTGTTCTTTTTAATTAATAACTGTGGGCCTAGGCAAAAATAAGTGTTTTCTATACAGAGGCTGAGTGAGCTGTGTGTAGTTATTTCAGTCAACTTTGAACAATATATTATTGATCCTTGTAGGTCAGTCTCTGGAGGAACTCCAACTAGGAAAAACCAACCGGCAGATCAGGGGGTCTGTAAAAGCAGAGAAGGGAATTTGACATTGAATTTGATGGTGTCCCCTTTTTCTTCATTGGTAGAAAGATGTGGACCTGTCATCAAGCTTGATGTGAGATTAAAGGAATAGTTCACCGTTTGTACATACTGACATATGTTCTTACCTTAGACTAGTTAATATGTACCTGTCTGGTCTTAGTCCGTGCGCTCTGTCATGCAAACGGAGCAAAAACGGGAGCACAAACGCAGCCTCCTCTGTATACTGTGTAGCACCAAAAGGTAGCTCCCGCTAGAAGCTACCAAACTCTTCCAAGTGTTCCCTATTAAATGTATATAGTTACGTGACGTGTTACACTGCAAAGTACAGTAACACAGAAATGTAACAGTCGATTTTCTCAGCGGATAAAACGGGTACTATATTGTGAGGCGTAGTAATCTGAGGTGCGCTACGTCCGCGCACTAACTTCTCTCCGTACTACAAGTCACGCTGCTTCTATTGACGGAAGTGAGCGAGAGAGCAGCTTTCTTTATTTACTTACTTTCTTTTTATTTAATTCTACATATTCTTTCAGCGTTGAGTCCGTGCATTTCGGGAAGAAAGTCTGCACATTGCCATCCACACAAACAACAGTATGGAAAGGCAGAATGAATGGTTGAAGGCGTCATATCTGAACTGCAGTATAAGCTTGTTACAGTGGATCGGTTTATCCCAGACACCTTTAGAAAGTAAGTGCTCAACATTTACACACTATAGTCCAGATATGAAGAGATGAACATTGGCTGCTCTGATGGCTACAGACGTTACAGCGATAGTGTTCCCAAATATCTCCACAATCCACCCAAGGACATGGTCGACCACTTCATCAAGAGAATGAGCGCTAACATTCCCAGAGAAAACATTCTCACGTTGGATGTGACGTCTACTCGATCTCAAGAGACAAATGAGGAGGAGACAAAAGGTGATACCAGCTATGGCTCGGTGATACCAGCTATGGCTCGGTGATCCCAGCTATGGCTCGGTGATACCAGCTATGGCTCGGTGATACCAGCTATGGCTCGGTGATACCAGCTATGGCTCGGTGATACCAGCTATGGCTCGGTGATACCAGCTATGGCTCGGTGATACCAGCTATGGCTCGGTGATCCCAGCTATGGCTCGGTGATACCAGCTATGGCTCGGTGATACCAGCTATGGCTCGGTGATACCAGCTATGGCTCGGTGATACCAGCTATGGCTCGGTGATACCAGCTATGGCTCGGTGATACCAGCTTTGGCTCTGTGATACCAGCTATGGCTCGGTGATACCAGCTATGGCTCGGTGATACCAGCTATGGCTCGGTGATACCAGCTATGGCTCGGTGATACCAGCTATGGCTCTGTGATACCAGCTATGGCTCGGTGATACCAGCTATGGCTCGGTGATACCAGCTATGGCTCGGTGATACCAGCTATGGCTCGGTGATACCAGCTATGGCTCGGTGATACCAGCTATGGCTCGGTGATACCAGCTATGGCTCAGTGATCCCAGCTATGGCTCTGTGATCCCAGGCTCCCTGTTGTCCCTGTCCTGATTGGCACAGGTACACATGGCCTTGTAAACACATGTGTGCTGTTCTGTCTTGGGACAAATTGGGTGAGTGTTATTGTGATAACCCAATTTTTACCCTGGATCAAGATGTTAAAAGTGGGTGTAACTCTCCTGCAAATACAAAAGTGGCTCCAGCTGACAGCACTGGTACAACCATCCCTGAAGATGATGACACCAGCAGACTCTAGGCCAGGACCAGGAGCCACTAAGCCCAACCCTGAGACCAGACAAACTACCAGGTGGAAAGAGAAAGTATCCATCTGAAGGGGATGACTGACTCAGTGTACCTAATCCAGGATGAGCAAATCCTCCACAATTATCAAAAGGAATTTCAAGAAATGTTGGGCCATGTGAGGAGACGTGTGCCAAGAAAGGGAAAGACTCTTCCCTCTAAACAGCTTGGAAAGATACCGATGAGGTTATTTGGGAAAAGAAAAGACAAATATACGAATCGTGTGGAAAAAGGCAGAGGAAGTGAAGACAACATTCAAAGTGCCACATTAACTCAAATACATGTACACATAATATAGTATAGTGGAAAAAAACAAGTTTACATTATGTACCAAAAATGGGAATTGAACCCAACTTTCCGCGGTTAACACCTTTGACATGACCACTGCACTACAGGCCCACCTCCGCATTACTCAGGCCCAAACTGTTTAAATAGTTCTGTATAACTGAATAACACTACTGTTATGTTTATATTCTATGTGTTTTTACATTTATTATTATGGATCCATGATTTACAGTCTAAAACTAATTCAAAAGGACCGTGCTCAGTGTTGTTGTGGTCTTACTCATGTAGGTGAGGCTGATGGGGGGAGGACAGAGTGAGGTGTTGCTCGGTGTTGTTATGGTCTTACTCATGTAGGTGAGGCTCATGGGGGGAGGACAGAGTGAGGTGTTGCTCGGTGTTGTTGTGGTCTTACTCATGTAGGTGAGGCTGATGGGGGGGGGACAGAGTGAGGTGTTGCTCGGTGTTGTTATGGTCTTACTCATGTAGGTGAGGCTGATGGGGGGAGGACAGAGTGAGGTGTTGCTCGGTGTTGTTGTGGTCTTACTCATGTAGGTGAGGCTGATGGGGGGAGGACAGAGTGAGGTGTTGCTCGGTGTTGTTGTGGTCTTACTCATGTAGGTGAGGCTGATGGGGGGGAGGACAGAGTGAGGTGTCATGTAGGTGAGGCTGATGGGGGGGGGGAGGACAGAGTGAGGTGTTGCTCGGTGTTTGTTGTGGTCTTACTCATGTAGGTGAGGCTGATGGGGGGAGGACAGAGTGAGGTGTTGCTCGGTGTTGTTGTGGTCTTACTCATGTAGGTGAGGCTGATGGGGGGGAGGACAGAGTGAGGTGTTGCTCGGTGTTGTTATGGTCTTACTCATGTAGGTGAGGCTGATGGGGGGAGGACAGAGTGAGGTGTTGCTCGGTGTTGTTATGGTCTTACTCATGTAGGTGAGGCTGATGGGGGGAGGACAGAGTGAGGTGTTGCTCGGTGTTGTTGTGGTCTTACTCATGTAGGTGAGGCTGATGGGGGGAGGACCGAGTGAGGTGTTGCTCGGTGTTGTTGTGGTCTTACTCATGTAGGTGAGGCTGATGGGGGGGGGAGGACAGAGTGAGGTGTTGCTCGGTGTTGTTGTGGTCTTACTCATGTAGGTGAGGCTGATGGGGGGAGGACAGAGTGAGGTGTTGCTCGGTGTTGTTGTGGTCTTACTCATGTAGGTGAGGCTGATGGGGGGAGGACAGAGTGAGGTGTTGCTCGGTGTTGTTGTGGTCTTACTCATGTAGGTGAGGCTGATGGGGGGAGGACAGAAAGAGGTGTTGCTCGGTGTTGTTTTGGTCTTACTCATGTAGGTGAGGCTGATGGGGGGAGGACAGAGTGAGGTGTTGCTCGGTGTTGTTGTGGTCTTACTCATGTAGGTGAGGCTGATGGGGGGGGAGGACAGAGTGAGGTGTTGCTCGGTGTTGTTGTGGTCTTACTCATGTAGGTGAGGCTGATGGGGGGAGGACAGAGTGAGGTGTTGCTCGGTGTTGTTGTGGTCTTACTCATGTAGGTGAGGCTGATGGGGGGAGGACAGAGTGAGGTGTTGCTCGGTGTTGTTGTGGTCTTACTCATGTAGGTGAGGCTGATGGGGGGGAGGACAGAGTGAGGTGTTGCTCGGTGTTGTTATGGTCTTACTCATGTAGGTGAGGCTGATGGGGGGAGGACAGAGTGAGGTGTTGCTCGGTGTTGTTATGGTCTTACTCATGTAGGTGAGGCTGATGGGGGGAGGACAGAGTGAGGTGTTGCTCGGTGTTGTTGTGGTCTTACTCATGTAGGTGAGGCTGATGGGGGGAGGACAGAGTGAGGTGTTGCTCGGTGTTGTTGTGGTCTTACTCATGTAGGTGAGGCTGATGGGGGGGAGGACAGAGTGAGGTGTTGCTCGGTGTTGTTGTGGTCTTACTCATGTAGGTGAGGCTGATGGGGGGAGGACAGAGTGAGGTGTTGCTCGGTGTTGTTGTGGTCTTACTCATGTAGGTGAGGCTGATGGGGGGAGGACAGAGTGAGGTGTTGCTCGGTGTTGTTGTGGTCTTACTCATGTAGGTGAGGCTGATGGGGGGAGGACAGAAAGAGGTGTTGCTCGGTGTTGTTTTGGTCTTACTCATGTAGGTGAGGCTGATGGGGGGAGGACAGAGTGAGGTGTTGCTCGGTGTTGTTGTGGTCTTACTCAGAGGTGAGGCTGATGGGGGGAGGACAGAGTGAGGTGTTGCTCGGTGTTGTTGTGGTCTTACTCATGTAGGTGAGGCTGATGGGGGGGGAGGACAGAGTGAGGTGTTGCTCGGTGTTGTTGTGGTCTTACTCATGTAGGTGAGGCTGATGGGGGGGGAGGACAGAGTGAGGTGTTGCTCGGTGTTGTTGTGGTCTTACTCATGTAGGTGAGGCTGATGGGGGGAGGACAGAGTGAGGTGTTGCTCGGTGTTGTTGTGGTCTTACTCATGTAGGTGAGGCTGATGGGGGGGAGGACAGAGTGAGGTGTTGCTCGGTGTTGTTGTGGTCTTACTCATGTAGGTGAGGCTGATGGGGGGAGGACAGAGTGAGGTGTTGCTCGGTGTTGTTGTGGTCTTACTCATGTAGGTGAGGCTGATGGGGGGGAGGACAGAGTGAGGTGTTGCTCGGTGTTGTTGTGGTCTTACTCATGTAGGTGAGGCTGATGGGGGGGGAGGACAGAGTGAGGTGTTGCTCGGTGTTGTTGTGGTCTTACTCATGTAGGTGAGGCTGATGGGGGGGGAGGACACAGGCCCAGGGCTCAGCTTGTTCTCCTCGAAGCCGTTGGGGAGACCGCTCAGATAGTCCCTGCGCTGACGGCTCAGTCCCAGCCACAGGTACATCTCGATCTTACTCTGCACCGTCCACCCGGCAGGACCAAAACCCTTCTTACCCGGGATCTGAGGGAGACCAGAGGGAGACCAGGGGGGGAGGCCAGCGGGAGACCAGAGGGAGACCAGAGGGAGACCGGAGGGAGAGCAGATGGAGACCAGAGGAGACCAAGGGGAGACCAGAGGGAGACCAGAGGGAGACCAGCGGGAGATCAGAAAGAGACCAGAGGGAGACCAGGGGGAGACCACAGGGAGACCAGAGGGGGAGGCCAGAGGGAGACCAGAGGGAGACCAGAGAGAGGCCAGAGGGTAGACCAGAGGGAGACCAGTGGGAGACCAGAGTCCAGAGGGTGAGAGAGACCAGAGGGAGACCAGAGGGAGAGACCAGGGGGAGACCAGTGGGAGACCAGAGTCCAGAGGGTGAGAGAGACCAGGGGGAGACCAGAGGAAGAGACCAGAGGGAGACCAGAGGGAGAGACCGGGGGAGACCAGTGGGAGACCAGAGGGTGAGAGAGACCAGGGATCAGAGACATCAGAGAGGATGAGAAATTCCGGAGCTTAGTTAAACATGAAAGTCTGTCCAAACCTCTTAATCAGGTCTGGACCCGGTCTGAACCTGGTCTGGACCGGTCTGGACCCGGAATGGTCCCGGTCCGTACTCACCCTTAGGAACAGGGTCTTGACCTTGCCGCAGTCCTTGCCGCGCTCCTCCTCGGTGCCTGAGTACAGCAGGTCTTTGGACGGGACTCTGGAGTAAGCGATTCTCTTCCCATTACTGAGCATCCAGATGAAGACGTCTGGGATACTGTGCTGAGGCTGAGGACCAGAGCGAGACCAGAGAGGGACCATCAACACCAGAGAGGGACCATCAACACACACCAGAGGGACCAGAGAGAGAGACCATCAACACCAGAGAGGGACCATCAACACACACCAGAGAGACCAGAGAGGGACCATCAACACCAGAGGGACCAGAGAGAGAGAGACCATCAACAGCAGAGAGACCGAAGAGAGACCAGAGAGGGGCCATCAACACCAGAGAGGGACCATCAACACCAGAGGGACCAGAGAGGGACCATCAACACACACCAGAGGGACCAGAGAGAGAGAGACCGAAGAGAGACCAGAGAGGGGCCATCAACACCAGAGAGACCAGAGAGGGGCCATCAACACAAGAGGGACCAGAGAGGGACCATCAACACCAGAGGGACCAGAGAGGGACCATCAACACACACCAGAGGGACCAGAGAGAGAGAGAGAGACCATCAACAGCAGAGAGACCGAAGAGAGACCAGAGAGGGGCCATCAACACCAGAGAGACCAGAGAGGGACCATCAACACACACCAGAGGGACCAGAGAGAGAGAGACCATCAACAGCAGAGAGACCGAAGAGAGACCAGAGAGGGGCCATCAACACCAGAGAGACCAGAGAGGGACCATAGGCCGTAGCTTGGCCTGGTTCAGCCTGTGGGCCATAGCTTGGCGTGGTTCAACCTCTGTGTTTGGCCTGGTTCAGCCTGTGTGTTTGGCCTGGTTCAGCCTGTGTGTTTGGCCTGGTTCAGCCCGCGGGCCGTAGCTTGGCCTGGTTCACCCTGAACACTTGGCCTGGTTCAGCCCGCGGGCCGTAGCTTGGCCTGGTTCAGCCTGTGTGTTTGGCCTGGTTCGGCCCGCGGCTTGGCCTGGTTCAGCCCGTGGGCCTTGGCTCGGCCTGGTTCAGCCCGTGGGCCGTGGCTTGGCCGCCTCATGGAGCCTTGAGATGGACGTGTATGAAGCCTCTCCCAGCCCGCGGGCCGTAGCTTGGCCTGGTTCAGCCTGTGTGTTTGGCCTGGTTCAGCCAGTGTGTTTGGCCTGGTTCAGCCCGCCGGCCGTAGCTTGGCCTGGTTCAGCCTGTGGGCCATAGCTTGGCGTGGTTCAACCTCTGTGTTTGGCCTGGTTCAGCCTGTGTGTTTGGCCTGGTTCAGCCTGTGTGTTTGGCCTGGTTCAGCCCGCGGGCCGTAGCTTGGCCTGGTTCACCCTGAACACTTGGCCTGGTTCAGCCCGCGGGCCGTAGCTTGGCCTGGTTCAGCCTGTGTGTTTGGCCTGGTTCGGCCCGCGGCTTGGCCTGGTTCAGCCCGTGGGCCTTGGCTCGGCCTGGTTCAGCCCGTGGGCCGTGGCTTGGCCGCCTCATGGAGCCTTGTGGACGTGTATGAAGCCTCTCCCAGGCCCTCCCCCTCCACACTCCAGTCCCAGCTCTTCTGCCTCAGCAGCGGCCGTGTCTCTGCCCTCTCCCCGCGCAGTGGATGTTCTCACGCGGCCAGGACCTATGCGCCACACGGGAGACAGATCCACATCACGAGGTAAGAACCACATTTGTCCCTTTTTATTTCATTTAAAATCCGGAGTGAGTTCTGCGCCTTCCCCGATCCCCGCGCAGAACACATCTGTTTAAACCTCACCTAACTTTATTAACGGAACTAACGGGGCTCAAGGCGGGTTCTCCTCAGCACCGGGACCGGGACCACAGGACCCAGGACCCGGACTCAGAACCCGGAGCCAGGACCAGGAACCAGGCAGACTCGTGTTTCCTGCGTGACTTCACACGGGAACAGAGAAAATGGCTTCTTCCCGTTTCTCACTCAGAGCCGTTTCCTCCACATTTAAACCTAAATGGCCTGTGTGTAGAATAGCCGTGTCCATTAGCAGTGGTTCGCGTAGAGCCACGCTGAGCCGTGCCGAGCCGCGAGAGGACACACTTTAATGCCTTCGTGTTGTGGAGAGACGCCTAAACGCGCGCACAGTTGTGGCTCAAAATGGTGTCGCTGAGTGCGGAGACAAAAGCAGGGGCCCCGGAGCCGGAGAGCCCCGAGTGTGAGCCCCGTTTGTGGCAGCCCAGAGACAGGTACAGACTGAGGGCAACCCGGGGATCACATGGGCCACAACCCGGACTGTCCCGGGATATCACACTTTAGGGTTTTAAAATGTGCTCAAAGTCTGAGCGTGGGGGAAGGGCCCAGTGACGTCACAGCCTGCGTGCACAGCTGCGGCTCCTCTGCAGAGGGCCATAAGTGATGGTAATAATATGATTATAATACTAATAATAACAACTGTTTAGTACATTTTAGCAGAGATCCTGGTCCACTCCTGATGCAGAGGTCCCAGTGTTGTCTAGGTCCAGGGTCCGGATCCTGACAGACGGTCGGTGCAGTGTCTGTAGTGTTGCGGCCGCTATATCACTATTCACTGTTGTGGTGAGCAGGGAGCAGCGTCTGCAATCAGAGCTCTGTGTGCCCACCCTCACCTCTGGTCCTGAGCTTTGAGGAAGGACCCACAAGAATGGAGGACACAGCCGGCCCACATGAGTTTCCTTCAGATTGACTGTGCAGAGCTTGAAGTAGAGTTGCTGCTCCCTGAGAGTGGGAGGAGCTCAGAGTAGAGCTGCTCCTCCTCCACATAGCCTGACGTTTCCACTCTTTACCAGATTTGCCAATGGAACAAGCACGGCTCCTGTGGTTAAGGTATACACATTGTTTACATTGAAAATGTTGCCACGGCGATGAAGATGGTGTTTGGCAGATCCTCAGGAGGACACGCACTAATCAACATTATTCTTTGTCTTGTTGCTGTTTCCTGTGGATGATAACAGCTCTTGTGTGTGACGATGCGTCCTGCAGATGCTCGGGCATGTTCCAGTGTGTGTCTTGTTGTGGCTTCATGTTGGAGCACACGTTGTGTTTGACCTGAGGACCTGATGGTACCTTCTGCTGTGGTCGCCATGGCTCCTCAACACTCTGACACCATAATGTGACCAGAACATTCTAATCAAACCTTTTCCCTGAGAACATCAGCTGCTTTGTCATTGCTGGGACCATCTCCCATAATGCTTCACTTCATAACAGTCTTTATCTTTCCTCTTGTGCGCTGAAGGAGGCTGCTCAAACTATGTCCTTACAATTATGTCCCTATAAAACTGTCCTTACAACTGTCCCTACAACACCGTCCCCACAACTCTGTCCCAACAACACTGTCCCCACAACTCTGTCCCTACAACTGTCCTTACAACTTTCCTTACAACACCGTCCCCACAACTCTGTCCCTACAACTCTGTCCCAACAACACTGTCCCTACAACTGTCCCTACAACTATGTCCCTACAAAACTGTCCTTACAACTGTCCCTACAACACTGTCCCCACAACTCTGTCCCTACAACTCTGTCCCCACAACTCTGTCCCTACAACACTGTCCCCACAACTCTGTCCCTACAACTCTGTCCCCACAACACTGTCCCCACAACTCTGTCCCTACAACTCTGTCCCTACAACTCTGTCCCCACAACTCTGTCCCCACAACTCTGTCCCCACAACTCTGTCCCGACAACACTGTCCCTACGTCTCTGTCTGCATTTGACTTTTTACTGTCAGCCGTACCCATCTGTCCCTTTCAGTCATGTCTTCTGCAGAGTTCTCAAGCTGCTTTCAGTTCAGTTAAGTTTTAGTCCCAATAATCCTGGTTTAACAGCTGTGTGTGTGTGGTCTCTGGTCGGTGGTCGTGGTCGTTGAAGCAATTTCTTGTCAAATTAATGTGTTTTTTCTGTTCAAATGTGAGGTGAGAATCTCCTCTTCTGATCTTGATCAAAAGTCTTCATCCCCCAGTTCTCAATAAATCTTAAACCTCTATAGCAGCTTTGAGGTATTTGTGGTAGTTGAGGTCCTTATCCTCTCTGGGGTCTTGTCTCTCTGGTCTCCCTCTCTGTGTCTCTCTGGTCTTTCTTTTTGGCAATAGCCTCCAGTTCCTGTAAATTCCTGGGCGACCTTGTATTAACTGCACATTTCAAATCTCCCCAGATGTGATCATAGAAAACATGTTTATTTGAAAAGAAATGGCTTCACACAATGAGTGGACAAAGTGTGTGTTTACCTCGTGTGTGTGTCACTCTTGTGTGTGTGTGTGTGTGTGTGTGTGTTCCCGGGGTATGGGCCGCCTGGGGAGACACTGAGTCTGCTTGAGGACGCCTGTTGCCTCCTGTTACATGAGGAAACGGTTGACAGCCCAAAAGCTGAATTCTGCTGTCCTTCATGTGAGTGTCCCCTGCTTTAACAGAGCGTTTGTTGCCAGGTTGAGCTGCAGCCCTCGTGTTGTCTCCGCACTCTCACTCTGTGTTTTCTCCATTTTCTGAAGCAGTTTTAAAAATAGCGTCAGACAGAGCGCTCATTGAGCAGAAGCCCCTCCCACAGGTCTGGCCACGCGCTCTTTATCTAATGGAAAAGGAAAAGCCACGGGCCGCAGTCTAAAGCAGTGGTCTCAAACCCGGTCGAGCTGAGGCTGGATGGCATTAAAGGCAATGTTCGTCTTGGGTTTGTGTGTGTGTATGAACAGATATGTGCACGGGCAGAACATGCAGATGTATGATTGTCATACATTATAATGATGATTGAACATACTTTAATAATAACAATGGAGAAAGTTAACATTTGTGTTTTTAGAACCGGTGGAATGTTTTATAACTCCTTATTTGTGGCTTTTTCTAATGAAGGTGTTAATAATTGCTTTTATTGATTATGAGTTTTTAAATATAATTATATATTCTATATTTTTCTCTGAACAAATTGAGTCCAGCTGCTGTGATTGAAACAGAACTGGACCAAAGGCCTCGAGGCTCAGTGTTGTAGACTGTGTTTAATGTTTACTTTGAACTGACTTATTCAAGACCAGAGAGACTCTCTCTGGTCACTCTCTGCTCTCTCTCTTTCTGGTCTCTCTCTGGTCTCTCTCTCTCTGGTCTCTGGTCTCTCTCTGGTCTCTCTCTGGTCTCTCGCTCTCTCTCTCTGTGGTCACTCTCTGCTCTCTCTCTGCTCTTTCTGGTCTCTCTCTCTCTGATCTGATGAATGGTTATTTCCTTGATAATGTAGCTTTGAAATGATGTCTAATATATTTGCCCAGACTCTCAGTGGAGGCTGCACTGACATTACACTTTGATGTCCACTAGAGGGCCACGAGTGGCGAGTGGCAAGGCCACATGTTTGAGACCACTGCTCTAGGGGTAGGTGTGTTAGGCTGCATCCAATTCATAAATAATTCCTCCTTCCTAACCTTTTTTTCCTTCTCGTCATATCGACCGTTTATCAAAAACCTCATGCAAAGGCTTAATGTCACTTAACTGAACCTGGAGCCGCTCGTGTCAAACAAAAGGACAAGGAAGGACACGGAAGGGAGTATTTTTCCTTCAATATTGGTCTCTTTCTTGGTCTCATTCTTTGTCTAGTTTCTCTGCCTGGTCTGTCTTGCGTTTCTCTGTTCTCTCTCTCTGGTCTCTGTCTTGGTTCTTTCTCTCTGTCTCTCTCTGTCTCTGTCCCTCTCTCTCTCTCGTCATAAAAGGTCACTTTTAAAGCACCCACAAGGATGAGAAGGATGAGGAAGGGTGTGTGTTTTTTTCCTTCTGAATTTGGCGATGGCCCGAGCGCGACGCGGAAGTGGACGGTGTTTTTTTCCCGCAGCAAAAAGAGTGAAAATGTGGTTGTTCTGGTTTGTGCGCCGCTGAAACCTGAGCCCAGGAGTAGAAGCTAACGGCACATTGTTCTAACCGCTGTCTTCTTGTGTCTTTTGTCTCAGCTTTCACTCACTGCGTTCACTCGGACCGTCACTGTCCCCCTTTTTGTATTAGGCTTTATTTTTTTTACCTGCAATATTATAGTCTTCCACATTTCACCTCAGTTTGGCCACATTTCTGGAAGTATTTTGTCAATATAACCAACAAATCTGTTTCCTAAACTTGAATGAACTGCCTTGAAATCACAGAATGAAAATATAATAATGGTAATGCTCTCTGGTCTCCCTCTGGTCTCTCTCTGGTCTCCCTCTGGTCTCTCTCTGGTCTCTCTCTGGTCTCCCTCTGGTCTCTCTCTGGTCTCTCTCTGGTCTCTCTCTGGTCTCCCTCTGGTCTCTCTCTGGTCTCTCTCTGGTCTCTCTCTGGTCTCCCTCTGGTCTCCCTCTGTTCTCTCTCTGGTCTCTCTCTGGTCTCCCTCTGGTCTCCCTCTGTTCTCTCTCTGGTCTCTCTCTCTGTCTCTCTGTCTCTGGTCTCTCTCCGTTTCTGGTCTCTCTCTCTGTATCTCTCTCTGTATCTCTCTCTGGTCTCTGTCTCTGGTCTCTCTCTCTGTATCTCTCTCTGTCTCTCTGGTCTCTCTCTGGTCTGTCTCTCTCTCTGGTCTCTCTCTGGTCTCTCTCTGTCTCTCTGGTCTCTCTCTCTGGTCTCTCTCTCTGTATTTCTCTCTGTCTCTCTGGTCTCTCTCTGGTCTCTCTCTGTCTCTCTGGTCTCTCTCTCTGGTCTCTCTCTCTGTGTTGGTAAAGACACATCTGTGGTGAAAACAATGTACTCAGATGTTAAAAACTTGTGTTTGACTTGTGTGTTTTCTCTGGTCTGGCCGCTTGTGTTTGTTTGAATGACTTCAGACAGTTCCATGTGAACGCAGTGAGTCTCCGTCCGCCTCAAACTCTGTGTTTAACCCAGGGGCAGTTCTCGGACGCGCAGTGTGTGATGCGCGGTGTGTTGTGTTGGGCCGGTGTGTTACAGTGGTGTTACAGTTGTGTTACAGTCTGGTTGTTCCGTCCAGCAGGAGTCTGGCCTAAAATGGGCAGAAATGGCGCAGATCTAAAGCCGCGTGTCGCTCGCTCTAACGCAGTCTCCGCGCTGGGACCCGGCTGCTATGCTAAAGTCTGTGCGTCTCAAAAAGGTATCGCTAACAGAAGAATCACTGTTTAACTCATGTTAGAGGTTTACACACATGCAGACGCACACATGCAGACGCACACACACGCAGACGCACACACATGCAGACGCACACATGCAGACGCACACACATGCAGACGCACACATGCAGACGCACACACATGCAGACGCACACACATGCAGACGCACAATGCACATGCAGAGGCACACATGCAGACGCACACATGCAGACGCACACACATGCAGACGCACACATGCAGACGCACACATGCAGAGGCACACATGCAGACGCACACATGCAGACGCACACACATGCAGAGGCACACACGCAGACGCACACACGCAGACGCAACATGCAGACGCGCACACACATGCAGACGCACACACATGCAGAGGCACACACATGCAGACGCACACATGCAGACGCACACATGCAGACGCACACATGCAGAGGCACACACATGCAGAGGCACACACATGCAGAGGCACACACATGCAGAGGCACTCACATGCAAAGGCGCACACATGCAAAGGCGCACACATGCAGAGGCGCACACATGCAGAGGCGCACACATGCAGACGCACACATGCAGAGGCACACACATGCAGACGCGCACATGCAGAGGCGCACACATGCAGAGGCGCACACATGCAGACCCACACTCATGCAGACCCACGCACACGCAGAGGCACACACGCAGACGCACACACACACACACACACACATGCAGACTCACACACCATCATTACTGGCAGCCCAAGTTGCATATTGTTGCTATAGTTTGTGTGGGTGACAGAGGTTGCGTGTTTCAGCGTTAGTTGTGTGTGTGTGTGTGTGCACACATGTGTGCGACAGTAGAGGTTGTATGTTGTGGCTTTAGATTGTCTCTGTGTGTGTCTGTTTATGTGACTCTTGAAGTCCTGTGTCGCTGCTTTTGTCTACGTGTGTGTGTCTGTGTGACCGCAAGAGCCTTCTAACCCCCTGTCTTTCCCGTTGCAGGCTCGCACCATGTTCCCCAAGGGCACGAAGCGTAAGTCCCCGGAGGACGAGGCCCCGGGCCCCGGGCCCCTGTCCTACAGTCTGCAGAGACAGTCGCTGTTGGACATGTCTCTGATTAAGCTGCAGCTGTGCCACATGCTGGTGGAGCCCGACCTGTGCCGCTCTGTGCTCATCGCCAACACAGTGCGCCAGATCCAGGAGGAGATGAGCGAGGACGGGACCTGGCAACGCATGGCCCTGGCCCTGGCTCAGGGCGCTCAGGGGCCACAGGGGCCCTCTGGACTGGCCCCGCCCCTCACTCCCTCACCTGAGCGCCTCGTGGCCTCGGAGCTGCTCTGCCGCTCGGACCTTAAGCCAGCCCCCCACAGGGGCGAGGGGGGGCTGGAGGAGCGGGCCCCCGGGGCCCCTGACTCTCCTGACTCTCCGTACCTCGGGCCCTTCAGCCGGTGGGAGGGCGACGAGGGCGAGGAGGGGGAAGAGGGGGACAGCGAAGAGGCGGACGAGGCAGACAGCGAGGACAGTCTGTCAGACCCCGAGGAGGAAGTCAGGGAGCACACGGTGTTCGGGACATTTGAAATAAAGCCGCCCTTAGCAGAGAGCAGGGGCCCCTCAGCAGAGAACAGGGGCCCCTCAGCAGAGAGCAGGGGCCCCTCTGTAGAGCCGGCGCGTCTGTGTGACATCAGAGCGCCCTCAGACGCGGCTCTAGAGGAGCTCTTCTCGGATGTGGACCCTTCGTACTATGACCTGGACACAGTTCTGCTGCAGGGGCCAAAGATGGGCCCCTACGATCTGTTGGAGAGCCTGTCCCATAGCCCCGCCCTGAGCCCCGCCCCCACAGCCAACTGTCGCTCAGACATCAATGAACTCGACCACATCATGGAGATCATCGTGGGGTCCTGAGGGCCTCATGAGGGGCCTCTCAGGAGGCCGTCAGGGGCCCCTCATAAGTCAGGACCAGTGTGACTTGTTACAGTTTGGAGACAATGTGGGAAAGTAACACTTTAGTTTCAGTTGGATTAGAGGAACCAGCGTCACAACTCAGTACAAATGTAAAACTAACCAAAACTAAAGGTCTTGTTTAGAGGGTGAGGGAGGGTCGTGAGAGAGGGTGAGGGAGGGTCGTGGAGAGGGTGAGGGAGGGTCGTGGAGAGGGTGAGGGAGGGTCGTGGAGAGGGTGAGGGAGGGTCATGGAGAGGGTGAGGCTGAGGGAGGGTCGTGAGAGAGGGTGAGGGAGGGTCGTGGAGAGGGTGGAGGGAGGGTCGTGGAGAGGGAGGGAGAGGGTGAGGGACGGTCGTGGAGAGGGAGGGAGAGGGTGAGGGACGGTCGTGGAGAGGCTGAGGGAGGGTCGTGAGAGAGGGTGAGGGAGGGTCATGGAGAGGGTGAGGGAGGGTCAGGGTGAGGGAGGGTCGTGGAGAGGGTGAGGGAGGGTCGTGAGAGAGGGTGAGGGAGGGTCATGGAGAGGGTGAGGGAGGGTCAGGGTGAGGGAGGGTCGTGGAGAGGGTGAGGGAGGGTCGTGGAGAGGGTGAGGGAGGGTCAGGGTGAGGGAGGGTCATAGAGAGGCTGAGGGAGGCCCTGGTTGGTCAGTTGTGGTCAGGTGATAATTTCCCACATTGTTCTGTAGCTAAAGGCGTAAATCTAATTCCACGTTGTGTTTACGTCTGCCTACGTTGCCTTGGTTACGTCTCGTCCATTGGGACGTTGCCTTGGTTACGTCTCGTCCAATGGGGTGGCTCCTCGGTCCATGAGTCACTACAGCAGAACAAAAGACAAAAATCCTATTTTCCTAAAGTCCATGAGTTTATGTAAATGTACAAAGTGTACATAGAAATATATTTTTTGCATTCTAGAGGGATCTGAGTATCATTTGATAATATTATGTTTTTAAAAGGTTTTAATGTAGCCTAACTCCAGACGGTGTCTTCCAGTTTCTACAGGCGCTGTTTGACAGAGGGGCCATCAACACCAGAGGGACCAGAGAGGGGCCATCAACACCAGAGAGACCAGAGAGGGACCCATCAACATCAGAGACACCAGAGAGGGACCATCAACACAAGAGAGACCAGAGAGGGACCATCAACACCAGAGGGACCATCAACACACACCAGAGGGACCAGAGAGAGAGACCATCAACACCAGAGAGGGACCATCAACACACACCAGAGGGACCAGAGAGAGAGACCATCAACACCAGAAAGGGACCATCAACACACACCAGAGGGACCAGAGAGAGAGAGACCATCAACACCAGAGAGACCGAAGAGAGACCAGAGAGGGGCCATCAACAGCAGAGAGACCAGAGAGGGACCATCAACATCAGAGACACCAGAGAGGGACCATCAACACCAGAGAGACCAGAGAGGGACCATCAACACCAGAGGGACCAGAGAGGGACCATCAACACCAGAGGGACCAGAGAGGGGCCATCAACACCAGAGAGACCAGAGAGGGACCATCAACACCAGAGAGACCAGAGAGGGACCATCAACACCAGAGGGACCAGAGAGAGAGAGACCATCAACAGCAGAGAGACCGAAGAGAGACCAGAGAGGGGCAATCAACACCAGAGAGGGACCATCAACACCAGAGGGACCATCAACACCAGAGAGACCAGAGAGGGACCATCAACACCAGAGAGGGACCATCAACACACACCAGAGGGACCAGAGAGAGAGAGACCATCAACACCAGAGAGACCAAAGAGAGACCAGAGAGGGACCATCAACACCAGAGGGACCAGAGAGGGACCATCAACAGACACTAGAGGGACCAGAGAGAACAGAGAGAGACCAGAGAGACCAGATGAACAGACATTTTGGCTCAGTTGAACTGACCTCGTCAGAGAGGAAGCGCAGCTTGTGGAGGAAGACGAAGGTGAGTTTGAGTTTTTCTCGGACCGTGCTCTTCTTCACCTGCGTCCTCATGGTCTTCGCCTGCTGACCGATCGACTCCTGCTCCACAAGGCTGGGTTAGGGCTGGTCTGGGTCTTAGTCCAGGTCATGGTGTGTAGTGTAGTGTAGTGGTGTGTGTCCCAGCGGAATATTCAGGGTGTGTGGAGAGGCCTCAAATCCATGTCAGGATTCAAAACACCCCCAGTCAGTCTGCAGGAGACCACACCCCCCAGTCAGTCTGCAGGAGACCACACCCCCCAGTCAGTCTGCAGGAGACCACAACCTGTCCTATATGTACAGTATATAACTCTGTCCTATATGTACAGTATATAACTCCTGTCCTATATGTACAGTATATAACTCCTGTCCTATATGTACAGTATATAACTCCTGTCCTATATGTACAGTATATAACTCCTGTCCTATATGTACAGTATATAACTCTGTCCTATATGTACAGTATATAACTCTGTCCTATATGTACAGTATATAACTCTGTCCTATATGTACAGTATATAACTCCTGTCCTATATGTACAGTATATAACTCCTGTCCTATATGTACAGTATATAACTCTGTCCTATATGTACAGTATATAACTCCTGTCCTATATGTACAGTATATAACTCCTGTCCTATATGTACAGTATATAACTCTGTCCTATATGTACAGTATATAAGTCTGCACTACAAAGTTTTTTTGACTGGTATTGAAGCATTTTCAGCATCTACAGCTAGTTCTGCTAGTTAAGAAACATAGCTACTACTTATTTTGTATTTTGTATATTGTGTGTACTCCCTGTGTGTTCCTACTACGGTCCTGTCTGTGCGCTGCAACATCGAAATTTCCCCGCTGTGGGACAAATAAAGAAACCCTTATCTTATCTAGGACCACAGGGCCCCCTACAGGCTGATGGATGTATACAATGTACAGGTGTTAGTCCAGGTCTTGGTCTATGTCCGGGTCTTACCACTTCTGCCATGCACAGCTTGACGCGCTCTCGGTCCAGTTTGGTCCGACCAGACTGGTTCTGGTCCTTGTTCGCCAGGGACAGAAACTGACTGGAGACAAAAACGTTTCTTTAGGTTTAGGAGTCTGTCTGGGGCTGGTCTGAGTCCAGGTCTGAGTCCAGGTCTGAGTCCAGGTCTGAGTCCAGGTCTAAGTCCAGGTGTGAGTCCAGGTCTTGGTCTTTGGTCCAGTAGGTTCCCCTCAAACAGCGACCACAGCACGCTCATGCGTTTGTTTTCCTGTGACCACTTTGCTGCTCTCTCATTGGACGCTGAGGACGATCAGTGAACCTCATCTCCTGCTGCTGCCACATGCACCGAGCAACACGTCTGCTGCAACAACACGTCTGCTGCAACAACACGTCTGCTGCAACAACACGTCTGCTGCAACAGCACGTCTGCTGCAACAGCACGTCTCCTGCAACAACATGTCTGCTGCAACAACACGTCTGTAACATGTCTGCTGCAACAGCACGTCTGCTGCAACACGCCTGCTGTAACAACACGTCTGCAGCAACAACACGTCTGCTGCAAAACACGTCTGCTGCAACAACACGCCTGCTGCAATAACACGTCTGCTGCAATAACACGTCTGCTGCAACAACACGTCTGCTGCAACCACACGTCTGCTGCAACAGCACGTCTGCTGCAACAGCACGTCTGCTGCAACAGCACGTCTGCTGTAACAACACGTCTGCTGCAACAGCACGTCTGCTGCAACAGCACGTCTGCTGCAACAGCACGTCTGCTGTAACAACACGTCTGCTGCAACAACACGTCTGCTGCAACAACACGTCTGCTGCAACAACACGTCTGCTGCAACAGCACGTCTGCTGCAACAGCACGTCTGCTGTAACAACACGTCTGCAGCAACAACACGTCTGCTGCAAAACACGTCTGCTGCACACGCCTGCTGCAATAACACGTCTGCTGCAACAACACGTCTGCTGCAACAACACGTCTGCTGCAACAACACGTCTGCTGCAACAGCACGTCTGCTGCAACAGCACGTCTGCTGCAACAACACGTCTGCTGCAACAACACGTCTGCTGCAACAACACGTCTGTAACAACATGTCTGCTGCAACAGCACGTCTGCTGCAACACGCCTGCTGTAACAACACGTCTGTAACAACACTTCTGCTGCAACAGCACGTCTGCTGCAACACGCCTGTTGTAACAACACGTCTGCAGCAACAACACGTCTGCTGCAACAACACGTCTGCTGCAACAACACGTCTGCTGCAACAACACACCTGCTGCAATAACACGTCTGCTGCAACAACACGTCTGCTGCAACAACACGCCTGATGCAATAACACGTCTGCTGAGACAACACGTCTGCTGCAACAACACGTCTGCTGCAACAACACGCCTGCTGCAATAACACGTCTGCTGCAACAACACGTCTGCTGCAACAACACGCCGGCTGCAACAACACGTCTGCTGCAACAGCACGTCTGCTGCAACACGCCTGCTGCAACAACACGTCTGCTGCAACAACACGTCTGCTGCAACAACACGCCTGCTGAAATAACACGTCTGCTGCAACAACATGTCTGCTGCAACAACACGCCTGCTGCAACAACACGCCTGCTGCAACAACACGCCTGCTGCAACACCACGCCTGCTGCAACAACACGTCTGCTGCGACAACACGTCTGCTGCGACAACACGTCTGCAAAGACACGTCTGCTGCAACAACACGTCTGCAACAACACGTTTGCTGCAACAACACGTTTGCTGCAACAACACGTCTGCTGCAACAACACGTCTGCTGCAACAACACGTCTGCAACAACACGTCTGCTGCAACAACACGTCTGCAAAAACACAACTGCTGCAACAACACGTCTGCAACAACACATCTGCTGCAACAACACGTCTGCAACAACACGTCTGCTGCAACAACACGTTTGCAACAACACATCTGCTGCAACAACAAGTCTGCTGCAACAACACGTCTGCTGCAACAACACGTCTGCTGCAACAACACGTCTGCTGCAAAAACACGTCTGCTGCAACAACACGTCTGCAACAACACGTCTGCAACAACACATCTGCTGCAACAACACGTTTGCAACAACACATCTGCTGCAACAACACGTCTGCTGCAACAACACGTCTGCTGCAACAACACGTCTGCTGCAACAACACGTCTGCAGCAACAACACGCCTGCTGCCACAACACGTCTGCTGCAACAACACGCCTGCTGCAACAACACGTCTGCAACAACACGTCTGCTGAAACAACACGTCTGCTGAAACAACACGTCTGCAGCAACAACACGCCTGCTCCCACAACACGTCTGCTGCAACAACACGCCTGCTGCAACAACACGCCTGCTCCAACAACACGCCTGCTGCAACAACACGTCTGCAGCAACAACACGTCTGCTGCAACAACACGTCTGCTGCAACAACACGTCTGCTGCAACAACACGTCTGCAGCAACAACACGCCTGCTGCAACAACACGCCTGCTGCAACAACACGTCTGCTGCGACAACACGTCTGCTGCAACAACACGTCTGCAACAACACGTCTGCTGCGACAACACGTCTGCTGCAACAACACGTCTGCAAAAACACATCTGCTGCAACAACACGTCTGCAACAACACATATGCTGCAACAACACGTCTGCTGCAACAACACGTTTGCAACAACACATCTGCTGCAACAACAAGTCTGCTGCAACAACACGTCTGCTGCAACAACACGTCTGCTGCAACAACACGTCTGCTGCAAAAACACGTCTGCTGCAACAACACGTCTGCAACAACACATCTGCTGCAACAACACGTTTGCAACAACACATCTGCTGCAACAACACATCTGCTGCAACAACACGTCTGCTGCAACAACACGTCTGCAGCAACAACACGCCTGCTGCAACAGCACGCCTGCTGCCACAACACGTCTGCTGCAACAACACGCCTGCTGCAACAACACGCCTGCTGCAACAACACGTCTGCAACAACACGTCTGCTGCAACAACACGTCTGCTGCAACAACACGTTTGCAACAACACATCTGCTGCAACAACACGTCTGCTGCAACAACACGTCTGCAGCAACAACACGCCTGCTCCAACAACACGCTTGCTGCCACGACACGTCTGCTGCAACAACACGCCTGCTGCAACAACACGCCTGCTCCAACAACACGCCTGCTGCAACAACACGTCTGCAGCAACAACACGTCTGCTGCAACAACACGTCTGCTGCAACAACACGTCTGCTGCAACAACACGTCTGCAGCAACAACACGCCTGCTGCAACAACACGCCTGCTGCAACAACACGTCTGCTGCGACAACACGTCTGCTGCGACAACACGTCTGCTGCGACAACACGTCTGCTGCGACAACACGTCTGCTGCGACAACACGTCTGCTGCAACAACACGTCTGCTGCAACAACACGTTTGCTGCGACAACACGTCTGCTGCAACAACACGTCTGCTGCAACAACACGTCTGCTGCAACAACACGTCTGCAACAACACGTCTGCTGCAACAACATGTCTGCTGCAACAACACGTCTGCTGCAACAACACGTCTGCAAAAACACATCTGCTGCAACAACACGTCTGCAACAACACGTCTGCTGCAACAACACGTCTGCTGCAACAACACGTTTGCAACAACACATCTGCTGCAACAACACGTCTGCAGCAACAACACGCCTGCTCCAACAACACGCTTGCTGCCACGACACGTCTGCTGCAACAACACGCCTGCTGCAACAACACGCCTGCTGCAACAACACGTCTGCAGCAACAACACGTCTGCTGCAACAACACGTCTGCTGCAACAACATTTCTTTAACAACACGTCTGCTGCAACTGCACGTCTGCTGCAACACGCCTGCTGTAACAACACGTCTGCAGCAACAACACGTCTGCTGCAAAACACGTCTGCTGCAACAACCAACTGCTGCAACAACACGTCTGCTGCAACAACACGCCTGCTGCAATAACACGTCTGCTGAGACAACACGTCTGCTGCAACAACACGTCTGCTGCAACAGCACGTCTGCTGCAACAACACGTCTATTGCGACAACACGTCTGCAACAACACATCTGCAGCAACAACACGTCTGCAACAACACATCTGCTGCAACAACACGTCTGCTGCAACACGCCTGCTGCAACAGCACGTCTGCTGCAACACGCCTGCTGCAATAACAGGTCTGCTGCAACAACACGTCTGCTGCAACAACACTTCTGCTGCAACAACACGCCTGCTGCAACAACACGTCTGCAGCAACAAAACGCCTGCTGCAACAACACGTCTGCTGCAACAACACATCTGCTGCAACAACACGCCTGCTGCAACAACACGTCTGTAACAACCCGTCTGTAACAACACGTCTGTAACAACACGTCTGTAACAACACGTCTGCAACAACACGTCTGCTGCAACAACACGTCTGCAACAACACGTCTGCTGCAACAACACGTCTGCTGCTAAAACACGTCTGCAACAACACGTCTGCAACAACACATCTGCTGCAACAACACGTCTGCAACAACACATCTGCTGCAACAACATGTCTGCTGCAACAACACATCTGCTGCAACAACACGCGCCTGCTGCAACAACACGCCTGCTGCAACAACACGTCTGCAACAACACGTCTATAACAACAACGTGGAGCCAATCATGGAGCAGCACAACAGAGGAAATCAGGTGTCAGGCTAGAAAAAGGTGCAAGTGTGTGGTTCATTAGGCTGCAAGAAATCATGGAGGAGCACACTGAAGCGCACGCTTACAAACCACTGGTAAGTGCTGACTACAAGTCATGACTTCAAATTGTTATATAGAATGATTACAAATTATTTGTTGTTTGTGCAGCTTAGTCAAGAGTCCCTAATTGATGAAGTCGACTCAGATTCTGACGATTTAACTGTCAAGAAGAAACCTGTAAAAAAGTATGGAAAAAGAAAAATCAAAAACACTTTTCTTCAAGACTCGGAAAGTGACGAACCAAAGGCAAATAAGATTGTTATCATGCAGCTGCAAAAGAAGAAAAATGGGGGGCGAGTATACAGCAAGAGACACTTCTGCCTCTACTGTTCAATGTCCTGCCACAAAATGTCCCGTCATTTGACTAGAAAACATGGAAATGAAAGTGACGTAGCCAGAGCATTGGCTCTACCTGTGAAATCTAAAGCACGTAAACTTCAGTTTGATTTGATCAGGAATAGTGGAAACCGTGAGCACAATTTTGAGGTTTTAAAGGCCGGCATTGGAACTTTAGTCCCAGCTAAACAGCCAAATTCCCCAGTTAAATCCAGTGAGTTTTTGCACTGTATAGACTGTGGGGCATTGCTTAAGCGAAAGTCGCTGTGGAGGCATGTGGCCAGGTGCCGGCTTTCACAGAAAGATGCCCAGGCTAAACCAGGTAGAAGTAGGGTCCAGTCCCTCTGCTCCCTAGCCCAGCCTGTACCGGAGGGCATCAGCAAAAAGCTGTGGTCTTTAATTTCGGCAATGCATCAGGATGAGGTCACGGGTGTTGTCAAAGCAGAAAAGGGGATTCTGAGACTCGGAGAGCACCTGTACTTAAAACACGGGCATGATAAGACAAAGCATGATTACATTAGGCAGAAAATGAGAGAAGTCGGTAGGTTAATTAACGAAGCAAAAACCGCAGGGAAACTGAAAACAATTAAGGATTTCTTTATTCCTTCCAACTTTAACCATGTGATTGATGCAGTCAGGTCTGTGGCTGGATATGATGAGGAAACAAATCAATACAAGACTCCATCCTTGGCCCTCAAACTCGGCCATAGCCTCAGAAAGCTAGCAGATATTCTTGAATGTGACTCAAAAATGGAGCATTGTGTTGATGAACTATTTATTAAAAACCTCCAACGAAGCCGGCTGCTTTTTGAGAAGAGGTGGGACGTCTGTGTTTCTTCTGCTGCCCTACAGACCCTCCGGCAAGCCAAGTGGAACACTCCGGACCTGCTCCCTCTGACTGAGGACGTTAGAGCCATGCATGCACATATTGAGGTATGTCGACCTGAATATGTGCAAACCCTAATAAGTGAGCCAACGTCTAAGCATTGGTCTAAACTGGCAGTTTTGACTCTTTGTGAGGTCATCATTTTCAATCGAAGAAGGGAAGGTGAGGTTTCAAAGATGCCACTGACAGCCTTTACCTTAAGAAGTAAGACTGGGATCCATTCTGACATTGCTCTGGGACTGTCCCAACTTGAGAAAAAGCTGTGTCAGCATTTTCAACGCATTGAAATTAAAGGGAAAAGAAGTCGGAAAGTGCCGGTTCTTTTGACTCCTGAAATGATTGCTTCGATGGAGGTGCTGGTGGAGAACAGAAGGGCCTGTTCCATCTCTGACCATAACCCATACTTCTTTTCCCGCCCGGGCGCAGACACCCACATCAGGGGATCAGACTCCCTACGCCAGGTAGCCAAAGAATGTGGTGCGGTGCATCCAGAGATGCTATCCTCAACCAAACTTAGAAAGCACATAGCTACTATGTCTACAGTTCTCAATATGAAAGAGAATGAGATGGACATACTTGCCAACTTCCTCGGCCATGACATTCGCATCCACAGGCAATATTACAGACTACCAGAGGGGACACTGGAGCTGGCCAAAATCAGCAAAGTGTTGATGGCCATGGAGCAGGGAAGAGTGACGGAATTCGAAGGAAAGAGCCTCGACCAGATACAAATTGAGCCTGAAGGTAATTCTTGATATTATTAAAATATGTATGATTTTTTTCCCCTAAAGGCCACTTGTATTTTTATTTTCTGTGCGACAGGGAGAGCAGTAGAGATCCTCTCACAAACGGACGGGCTAAAAGAAACTTCAAGCGGAGAACCTTCAACCATTCATCCAGATGCACCCCATGGTAGTGGCAGTGCCCCTTCTGGTAAGTGTACCAGGTGGGGGATTACAGCCAGGCTGCTTGGTCCTCACCCTGGGAGTGTATATTGCTAATATATTTTTATTTCTCTCCCTAGAACGTGTAAGAAAGCCATGGTCTGCATCTGAGGTGAAGGCTGTGGAGAAGACCATGACACCTTTCATACAGACTGGAAAGGTCCCTGGGAAGTCTCACTGCCTGGCCTGCATTAATGCCTCACCAGATGACCTTAGACATCGGACATGGAGTGGCATTAAATTCTATGTCAAAAATAGAATCACTGCAATTCGAAAACAAAATCTAAAATAAAATTCCTTTAAAATAGTTGTTTGGTTTCTATTGACTGTTTTGTATTACTTAAAGTCTTGGTAAAAAAAGATTATGTCTATGGGTCCCATTCTGAACGGCCCTGTCAAAGGGACCCACCAGGTAACAAAAACGTGTATGTGTGTGTGTGTGTGTGTGTGTGTGTGTGTGTGTGTGTGTGTGTGTGTGTGTGTGTGTCTGTGTGTGTGTGTGTGTGTGTGTGTGTGTGTGTGTGTGTGTCTGTGTGTGTGTGTCTGTGTGTGTGTCTGTGTGTGTGTGTGTGTCTGTGTGTGTGTGTGTGTGTGTGTGTGTGTGTGTGTGTGTGTGTGTGTGTGTGTGTGTGTGTGTGTGTGTGTGTGTCTGTGTGTGTGTGTGTGTGTGTGTGTGTGTGTGTGTGTGTGTGTCTGTGTGTGTGTGTGTGTGTGTGTGGTGTGTGTGTGTGTGTGTGTCTGTGTGTCTGTGTGTGTGTCTGTGGTGTCTGTGTGTGTGTCTGTCTGTCTGTGTGTGTGTCTGTGTGTGCCTGTGTGTGTCTGTGTGTCTGTGTGTGTGTGTGTGTCTGTGTGTGTGTCTGTGTGTGTGTTGTGTTGTCTGGTCTGTGTGTGTGTGTCTGTGTGTGTGTGTGTGTGTTTGTCTGTGTGTGTCTGTGTGTGTGTGTCGTGTGTGTGTGTGTGTGTGTGTCTGTGTGTTCTGTGTGTGTGTCTGTGTGTGTGTGTCTGTGTGGTGTGTCCTGTGTGTGTGTGTGTCTGTGTGTGTTCTGTGTGTGTGTGTGTCCTGTGTGTGTTGTCTGTGTGTGTGTGTCGTCGTGTGTGTGTGTGTGTCTGTGTGTGTGTGTCTGATGTGTGTGTGTGTGTGTGTGTTGCTGTCTGTGTGTGTGTCTGTCTGTGTGTGTGTGTGTGTCTGTGTGTGTGTCCTGTGTCTGTGTGTGTGGAGTGTGTTGTGGTGTGTGGTTGTGTGTCTGTGTGTGTGTGTGTGTGTGTGTGTTGTTGGTGTGTGTGTTGTCTGTGTGCTGTTGTGTGTGTGTCTGTGTGTTCTGTGTGTCCCTGTGTGTTGTTGTGTCTGTGTGTTCGTGTGTTGTCGTGTTCTTTGTGTGTGTGTGTGAGTTCTTGTGTGTCTTTTGTTCGTGTGTGTTTGGTGTTGTGTCTGTGTGTTGTGTGTGGTCTGTGTGTGGTGTGTGTGTGTCTGGTCTTGTGTTTTCTGAGGTATGTGGTGGTTCCTTTGTTTGTTGTTTCTGTGTGTGTTCTGTGTGGTGTTTGTTTGTATTTTTCTGTGTGTGGTGTCTGTGTTGTGTGTTGGTCTGTTGTGGTGTTGTCTGTTGTGTTTTGTTCTGTGGTTGGCGTTTGGTGTGTGTGTCTTTGTCGTTGTCTGATTCATGTGTGTTCCCTTTGTCTTGCTTTTGTCTGTGGTGTGTCTGTGTGTCTGTTGTTGTGTTGTCTGGTGTGTCTGTGGTGTTGGTTGTCGTGTGTGTCTGTGTGGTTGTGTCTTTGGATTGTGGTTCTGACCTGTGTGTGTGGTTGTGTGGTTGTTCTGTGTGGTGCCTGTGTGTTGTCTCTCTTGATCTGTTGTGTGTGTGTGTGTGTGTGTGTCTGTGTGTCTGTGTGTGTGTCTGTGTGTGTCTGTGTGTGTCTGTGTGTGTGTATGTGTCTGTGTGTCTGTGTGTGTGTCTGTGTGTGTCTGTGTGTGTGTGTGTGTGTCTGTGTGTGTGTGTGTCTGTGTGTCTGTGTGTGTGTGTGTGTGTGTCTGTGTATGTGTGTGTGTGTGTGTGTGTGTGTGTGTG